GATTTTTTCTGTACTATTTTTTTGTGGGTTCGTTTTTTTAATCGCATTTTTTAAGGTGTTAGGGCGTCGACAACGTTTAACCTATGAACTAATGAGGGGTTGGAAAGTTTTTTTTTAGAGTAGAGTAAGGTGGTTTCACAGGTTGGTGTTTTTTATGGAGGGTTTTTTTATTGGAGGGAGGACGAAAACAAGTGTGTTATAAAAAATTGGAATTTCACGTGTTAAATGGGTGGTTTTTTATAAACCACTGATATGTTTTGAGTAATTTTTAAACCTGAATTTCCTTATAGATATAGGGGAGAGTAGTCTAGGATGGACCGTTATGACGTTTTTTAATTTTATGCGAATATGCACATATTTTTGATGAAAATGATAATAGAACATAAAAGGTACAAGTATTGCCTAATATAATTTAGAATGCAAAAAAATACATGTGTGTTTTTGTCCATCAAGGCAATCAATCTCCCAGCTTAGACCATTACATACAGTTAATGCAATAATATTTCTTGACATTTGGACTCACTTCAGCACATTTTGTCTGCTTCTTTTTCTTCCTTACACATAAAACAAAACCATGCTGTCTTAATTTGTCTCTTTTGTTTTTCTGTTCCAAATTCTGTTGGTTTTTGCTTGTTTTGTTGCAGTTTTAAAAGATTTTTCTTGTTTGTTATTAATGTAGCTTTCTGGGCAATTCCTCTAGCTCGAAAAGATGATGGTCCTGGCAGTGGATTCAGTTTTGGAGGAGGTGACACTTCATGGAGAGCTTTCTCAAAATTTTCGATTGTTCTAGTTTGACATATATCAACAACATTGCCTTCATTGTTACTTGATGACATCTATATTGGCTCAACCTCAGTACTTGGTTTAGGCTGCAAAATATCTGATCGTGCAAATTGCCTATCTTGGACATGTCGATTAACAAGCCAAATACCAGAGGCGCCAAAAGCATTCTCGACAGTTGCTACATTTCCACATGCTTCATTCAGTGATTTTGCGAAAAGCCGGATAACGGATATTGGATCCAAGATACAAAATAAACTTTTTTGATGCTGATTTAACTAACGAAGCAACTCTAAACATTGTTTTCTCAAAAACTAAAAGTTATTTTTCAAAACGGATTGGTTCCTTGGAAAGAGGACACTTTTATTAACACTTTGGGAAATTTTCATACTTATATTCCAAGAAATGGATTTTATACGAATTTTTAAAACTTAATCGGCGAAAATTGAAAAATTCGAAAAAATTGTCGATCATTTCAAAAATTTATTTCTCAAAAACTAAAAGTGATTTTTCAAAACGGCTTGTTGCGTTAAAAAGAGGATGCTTTAATTAATAATTGGTGATATTTCCACAAGGATCCTTCAAGAAATTAATTTTATAGCGAATTTTGAAAATTATCGATGAAAATTGCAACATCGAAAATTTTATCAAAACTTCAAATATTGTTTTCTCAAAAACTAAAAGTTATTTTTCAAAACGGGTTGGTTCATTGGAAAGAGGACACTTTTATTAACACTTTGGGAAATTTTCATACTCATATTCCAAGAAATGGATTTTATACGAATTTTTAAAACTTAATCGGCGAAAATTGCAAAATTCGAAAAAATTGTCGATTATTTCAAAAATTTATTTCTCAAGAACTAAAAGTGATTTTTCAAAACGGCTTGTTGCATTAAAAAGAGGATACTTTAATTAATAATTGGTGATATTTCCACAAGGATCCTTCAAGAAATTAATTTTATAGCGAATTTTGAAAATTATCGATGAAAATTGCAACATCGAAAATTTTATCAAAACTTCAAATATTGTTTTCTCAAAAACTAAAAGTTATTTTTCAAAACGGGTTGGTTCATTGGAAAGAGGACACTTTTATTAACACTTTGGGAAATTTTCATACTCATATTCCAAGAAATGGATTTTATACGAATTTTTAAAACTTAATCGGCGAAAATTGCAAAATTCGAAAAAATTGTCGATTATTTCAAAAATTTATTTCTCAAGAACTAAAAGTGATTTTTCAAAACGGCTTTTTGCATTAAAAAGAGGATACTTTAATTAATAATTGGTGATATTTCCACAAGGATCCTTCAAGAAATTAATTTTATAGCGAATTTTGAAAATTATCGATGAAAATTGCAACATCGAAAATTTTATCAAAACTTCAAATATTGTTTTCTCAAAAACTAAAAGTTATTTTTCAAAACGGGTTGGTTCATTGGAAAGAGGACACTTTTATTAACACTTTGGGAAATTTTCATACTCATCTTCCAAGAACTGGATTTTATACGAATTTTTAAAACTTAATCGGAGAAAATTCAAAATTTCGAAAAAATTGTCGATCATTTCAAAAATTTATTTCTCAAGAACTGAAAGTGATTTTTCAAAACGGCTTTTTGCATTAAAAAGATGATACTTTAAGGTTATTAGAGGTTGCTAATGACAACAAACCTGATATAAATAAAGTTGTGTTTAATGAAGAAAGTCCTATTGAGGTTGAACTTGATTATTATCTGCAACGATTTCTGGATTTATATTCTTTAAATGCTTTTGGAAATTTTATTACTAAAAGATTAAGCTCATGAAAATAAAGTTACAAAATACTTGTGTTTTAAAAATGTTGTCAATCATCTTCATAACGATTCTAAATAAAGCATAAAGATTGATTTTGATATCCCAATATCGCCCGTGTTAAAAAAATAAGAAAAGATGAAAGCAATCTTTCGACAGAATCTATACAGCTCATCAAAATCATGACACGTCCTCTTCGGAAGCGAACAAATTTACTGAAAACCGTAAAATACCCAATTACGATCTAGGATTTCTTAGGCGACCGCTACCGTGGGGTTCTTTTTATGGCGCGGCTTTTTTTTTTGGTGCCTTAATTCTTGTACCGTTTCGGTGTGTGTGTCCGGGTGCAGCCTGTAATCCATAGAGTGACCAGTGCGATTATTATTTGAGCACGAGAGAGCCTGATGTCCGTGCACCTGGTTTTTTTTTTGGGGTTCTGTCGTTGGACGGACGCCGTTTATACGTGCGCCCTGCGCCAAACAAAGAACCAAGAAGAGGACCAAACTCCGATTGTCAATGATATGTTATTTATTGGCCAGGTTCTTCAACAATCAAAAATGTGATTTTTTTAAAAGGTGAAAATGAAAAGAATGAAACTTTGATTTGTGGAAAAAGTTAAACACTAAAGAACCAAAATGAAGAGGACGTTTTTGGCATGATAAAAATTAATGATACCCACGAGATGTTATTTTCGCGTGGGTGGCACTTTCTTTTATATCCATTGCAGTTTTATTCGTGACTCCCTCTTCGATATATAGGAAGGGGAAAAGAGAAAGGGTCCCGAAAGTATGTATACCTACGCCTATTCCGCAGAAAAACCAACAATGACTGGCCGTTTCGTGAGTCCCTTCCGCTGCCCACTATTATTCCTTCTAAAATTCCGAACAGTTTTTTTAAAATTCCGCCCCGATGATGCAGAAATGCGCATCGACTACTTCAGAGGCCTCAAGGCTCATTCAAGAAAAACGCTAAGTACCTCTTCCACTGGATTATTTTGACCGCACAATAGAACCAAAAGATTTTTTTTTTTTTCAATACGTATTTTTCTCAATAACGTTTTACGTTTTTACAACTACACAAAGAAACTTGTAACAATAACCATTTAAACTCAAAAATTTAAAATACTATTTTATTAAATTTTTACTATTAACCCTCTTCAATTTCTTTCAATGCGGCTATTTGGTCCACTAATGCTCATTATAATGCTAGTGCAAAACTAGAACTAACACTAGACCTAGAACTAAAGTTTAGCCGTGCGTCTGAAGACGCAGACCTAGAACTAGAAAGCGTTAAATTGTTGTATATTTTTAATAATGAACTAAAACTAAATTCCGATTTTGTAAATGATTTTGACATACAAGTGTCATCGTAACGTTAAACGTCATTTTGACGTTTAAATTGACAACCCATTTTCCTAAAATGATACCAACCTAAATTTTTGGAAATTTTTTGATGAATTTCGAATATTTCTTACCAGTTTTTTCATAACTTTTTTGATTTATAGTATTTCGCTACTTTTAATGTTTTAATAAGATTTTTTTTCATCAAATTAACTGATTTTTGGGTTTTTTTAATATCTACTTTTTTTAACGATGTTGACGTTTAATTGTCAAATTGACGTTTATTATATTTTATTTATTATATTTTATATTTTATTTATTATATTATATTTTTGTACTTATAGTGACATAATAAAGTCTACTACAGCCCGGAAAATGATAATATCTCAACTCCCGAAATGTAATTCAATAAAATTTTTAAAAAATTCATTAAATTATATTTCAGGAGCTGTGATATTATCATTTTCTGGGGTGTAAGTAGACTTTATTGTATCACTGTATTTTTAGTCAACTAAAACTAGAAAGGATCAATAAGCTTTCATTTGAGACGAAAACTGAATTCGCAATTTCCAACGGAAGAAATCGTTGTATCTACTTTACTAATAGAACTTTAAGAAAGATTTCTATAAGGGAATGGTGCTTTTTTCTATTTCATCTTGAGCGAACGTTGCCGCAGCTGCGTCTCGAGACGCTCAAGATACGTGGGGGGACGAGAGGGTGCCGAAAATCGACGTCTGCGGTCAATAAAACTAAATCTCCGACAGAACCCCATATTTCAGAAGTTTGTTTCCGTGTTTCGCTATTTTTGCCGCGAAGGGTGCCAGACAACCGGGAGAATAATGATTTTTTCTGTATAACGATCGTTTATTTTTACGACTTCGAATGGTTATTTTCACTCAAAGGATTTAAAAAGAAAATAACTCATTAAATTTCCGATAAATTCTAATTAATAACGAATCTTTTATTAATTTAATGTAATGTTAAAATTAAAAATTAATTTAAAATTTAAATTTTTAAGCGCCATCTAACGGTTTTAATCCAAACTATAAATACAAAAAAATTAACTTAGATGTCGTTAGTTGTACTGACTTTAATGTGTCAATTTAGAAAGAAAACTTAACCTCAAAAATAATTGTGACGTCTTATTTATTTGTTAATAAGGTTAATAATCTCGTGATTATGTCTAAAGAAAATCATATTGATCGTGATTTAGATTTAAATAATGCTTCGAGAGGTGTTTGGTTGGTTAAAGTACCTAAATACATAGCGAATAGATGGGAGAAAGCCCCTGGGGATATAGAAGTTGGAAAATTGAAAATAACTAAAGTTTTAGGTCAAAAACATCAAGTGTCTTTGTCTTTATCGCAAGCTGTGTTAAATTTACCCGATTGTAAAGGTGAAAATATACCAAAGGATCATAGATTAGACGTTTCGACTGTAACCCAACAAACGTTAGGGGTGTTTTCTCATATGACTCGTAAGATGGTTATTCTTTTTGAATTAATGATAAAAATCAGAAATTTTATTCCTTTAATTTTAGCTGTTAATAAAGACTCCGTCGTACCTGAAAGTGAAAAATTATTTTTGGAAGGAAAAATAGTTCAAAAACTAGAATGTAGACCGTACGCTGATAATTGTTACATGAAACTAAAATTGGAATCAATCAAAAAGGCATCTATGCCTACGAGGAAAGTGCAACAACTTGATCGTGTTGTGCAAACTTATAAACCAGTTTCAGATCATAAAAATAATGTAAAATGAATCACAATTTGCTTTAAAATCTTTATAAATGAAATTTATTTTTAGATTGAGTATATTGAACGGAAGAAAGCTGAAGGTAAGAAAGCGAGGGATGATAAAGAACATGTTTTGGAAATGTTATTTGCTGCTTTTGAAAAACATCAATATTACAACATAAAAGATTTAGTTAAGATAACAAAACAACCAATTACTTATTTAAAAGAAATTCTTAAAGATGTTTGCAATTATAATTTGAAAAATCCTCATAAAAATATGTGGGAGTTAAAACCTGAATATCGACATTATAAAGAACCTACTGAACCTAAAAAACCTGAAACTGATGAAGAAGATGATGATTAATTTATTTTTTCATGTTAATTTTTAAGTTTTACTGAATTAATTTCAAAGTGTCTATGTGTATATTAATTTTGACAAAGAAATTAAAATAAATAAATCTTTTCTTTACACAATTTGCGTCACTTCAACTATGTTGTTCCCCCAATCATCTTCTCCACTAGATCTTTTGGAATTATAAAGTTAAAATTAATAAATAAAGTAGTTTTTTAATTTTGTATTTAATTTATTGTTAAATCAATTTCTTTTTGAATTGTTAGTGGGTTATTATTACAAATTTGGGCTTCTTTGATAAGATCCTATTTAAAAAAAAAATATATAAAATTGTAATTTACATCAAATGATTTCATAATACCTCTAAAGATTTTCTTTTAACATTCTCCAATTTCTCTGTTAATCCGGTAGGATTACTTACAGCTTCTGAAATGTAATCTAAAAAAATATAATTTTTATAATGAGATTGAGAAATGTTTTATCATTTACCTTCCACGAAAGAAGTCACGTTTTGAATTATATCAGTTTCAAAGTAATTAATTTTTTCTTCATACAATAATTGGTTCAAAACGTGGTGGATTATTTCAGACTTATCCTTGTTTAAAGACATTTTAATAAATACTTAGTGTTCACATCATTTTTTAGGTTAACTTAGCAACAATTAAATGCTCAGCTAACTTTGATTTTAAGCAAATAAATTTGATCGAATTATTATTATTACTCGTTATCGCGACCTATAAGATTTATTGTAACTTTAGCCCTCCAAAAGCTTAGGGCAAATGTAGGTTCTTAATGAACCTTATTGGTCCAAGGTGTTGTGCAATTAAATGAATATGTTCAACCGTTTCTGACTCGTCGTTGCAAAGTTGACAAGTTTGATCCTCAACTTGTCCAATGTGGAAGAGGTGGTATTTTAGGAGTGGATGGCCGGGCAAACCAAGATCGTCCTTAGATCCCCTTTGCTGAGGCAAACTTTTTCATTAAACTCCTACCTTTAAAGTCCTCCGCTGCTTTAACTCAGCCAAAGGAATGGTTCACGAACAACTGCCTGAAACTAAATGAAATTAAAATTAGACGTCTCAGCAAATTTTGCCTATTTTGCAAATTTTCATGCTGTTGCAACATATGGTAAGAGGAATTTTTGGTTTACAGAAGAAAGCGGTGAGAGCTTTATGCAATCTTAAAACTACTGACAGCTGTAAAGATTTATTCAAAAAAGAATGTATACTTACCGTACCAAGTGCATACATTTTAGCTACCTTGATGTATGTTTATGACAATATAAGTGAATTTAATGCGAATGCAAACTTTCACACATACGACACAAGAGGCAAAGAAGAACTGAGATTATCGTTACATAGGATAGAAGCGACTAAAAGATATGCTGACTTCTGGGGAATTAAATTTTTCAACAAGTTGCCAGAAAAAATCAAAACTATGGAACGAGGACACTTCAAAAAATATGTGAAGCCGAATCTGGCCAAGAAGGTCTAGGTACTATGTATGGTCTGATTATATGCAGGATCAATGTGTGGAGTAACAAAGTTAATTTGTTTTATTACTGTACTTATTATACATTACATATTTAATTTTTTTATTTATTTTTCTAGTTTTAGCTGTGATTCAGTGCTAGGTTGTATATTTTTATTGAACTAACACTAGAACTAGAAACATTCGGGTTTAGCCGTCTAAAGAGACATCCGAATGTATCTAGTTCTAGATCTAGTGTTAGCTTCGATGTCAGAACTAAAACTAGAACTTTTGCTTCAATGAAAAATAGACCTAGAACTAGAAAGCGTTAGATTATTGTATATTTTTATTAAAATAAAACTAAATTCTGATTTTTTAAATGATTTTGACATACAAGTGGCATCGTAACGTTAAACGTCATTTTGACGTTTAAATTTACAACCCATTTCCCTAAAATGATACCAACCTAAATTTTTGGAAATCTTTTGATGGATGTCGAATATTTCTTACCAGTTTTTTGATAACTTTTTTTGATTTATAGGATTTCGCTACTTTTAATATTTTAATAAGATTTCTTTCATCAAATTAACTGATTTTTGAGTTTTTTTAATATCCATTTTTTTTAACGTTGACGTTTAATCCTTTTAATTGTCAAATTGACGTTTAAAAGTATATTTTTACATATTTTTGATCAACTAAAACTAGAACTTTACACTAGACCTAGAACTAGAAAGACGTAGAACTAACACAAGACTTAGAACTAGAATCATTCGGGTTTAGCCGAACGTCTCTCAAGACGGCTACACCCCATAAAATTCTAGGTCTAGGTCTTGTATATCTTCTTCATTTGTACGTCTTCTCATTGCCCTCAATGTTTCTGTGACCTAGAACCCACCATAGAGTAACATCATTGCTCCTAGCTAGTTCTCTCAGGTTGCTGGTATACTGATCAGTGCAGAATCACATGTGTAAGCCTGAATTGTCTTTAGAGCGGCCCGACTGTCTCTGAAAATGTTTATGGATGCACCTTTCTGTCCATTTTGTAGGTTCAAAGTAGTGCAGAAGTTTATAGAAAGTACTTCAGCTTGAAAAATGGTTATGTCAAGCTGAGGGGCAATTTAATATGGTCCACTAATGCCCATGCCTACTCTGGATCCAACTGTCTTCTCTTTTTAGTTGAAGCCCACCCTTCGCCCAATTATTCCTGCTTTTAAACATGACCTTATACGGCTGATTGAAAAGCATAGAATATACTTATCAAATTAAAAAGAAATATATTAAGAAGAAATTCTTATTCTTTATTTAGAAAAAATAAAATATGTGGTATACATTATACCAAGTCTTAAATAAATGTACAAAAAAAAATGGTATTAATTGCATAAACAACTTAACCTTTTTAATATTTAAAGTTATGCGAATTAAATAATTATTAATTAATCGTCATAACCTCATTTAGGTACTTCAAACTTACATAAATATTATTAAAAAATATAAAACAAATTAAATAACAAGAGTTTTATCTCCGTCCCAATCAAATTTTTTTGATTTTCCTTTACGTTCATGTTCCCTCAAAGCACCGGGGGGTGTATTTTCACACTGAATGCCAAACTTGTTCTTTGTGTTCACTTTAGAAATGGGGATTTTGCTCAAACGATTATTGAGCTTCTTTGGTTTATCAGCCACTTTTAATTTAGGCAATTTTTTAGTTTCAACATTAATGTTTCTAGCTGCCAATGGAGTTCTATTTGTTAATCTCAAACCGTTATCTTCTTTTTTATTTACATCTTCAGTTTCTTCATCTTCATAAATAAGATTCATCAATTTTTTATCGAAATCTTTTACTGTGTTCATCACAACAGTCAAATCTTTTGGTAAAGTTTCAATTTTTGGAATTAAATCATTTTCAGATTCTTGAAGGTCATTATCAACTATGTCTTTTATTTCTTCTTCTTCCAATTTAATCTCATCAACTTCTTTCTCAATTTCAATAATTTCTTTTTCTTGAATACTTACATTAATTTCTTTTACCATGTTTAGCTTTAAAGGTGATTTTTCTTTAAAGGCCACGTCAATATCAGTTTCAACATAATCTAAATTAGTCTCTAACAGCCCAGATTTCCTTTTGTTTGCCTCAAAACTTTTCTTTTTATCACAAATTTCGTCAAGTTTCTCCTCAGTGTCTTCAACAAGTATAGGAGTCCTATTAAAATCTACTGTTGGTGATCTTGGATCAACATTTAAATACTTTAATCTCGGAGCATATTGAACAGCGCTTAAAACCCCATCCAAAGATGATTTATGTTTCAACATAATCGTCTTAAAACATGAAATAAACTTTATTTAATAATTAAACGCAATAATTAATTACTTTACCTCAATTGGAGTTCTAACAACATTATTACTTGGAGATCGAGGATCAAGATCGCGAATAAGATTTGTTTTAGGGGTTAAAATTGGAGTTGAAGGTACACTTCCTTCAGGAACGATTTCTTCCTTGACATCTTCTTGTATTTTACTCGCTTCTGTTCCCATGATTTAATTAAGTTTGACTGAGAATCGTTAGAATGTAATGAGATGATGATAATTTCTTAGTAAAAATGTAATTGAAGGAGTTTTAAGACGTTATTTTGAACGAAATCGAAACTAATTCAGAATTGACGTTTACCAAAATACGTTGAATTGAATATAACCGTTAAAAAGAATAAACGAAAAGAAGTACCAACTTTAGAAGTTAAAAAGAAACTAAAATTATAGAAATGTTTTTTAGCGAAACTCAAATTTAATTATTTAGATTAAATTGATTTTTTATTAGTGGATATATTGTATTTTCTATATTTTTTTACGAAAAAATATTTTCTGATTATTTAAACTCAATTTGCAAATTTGACTTGTAATTACCAACTTGACGTACAAATAAACATAACCTAAAAATGTTTTAATTTTTATTCTGAGTAAGTGTATTACTAAATAATTAAATAAATATTTTTGTATTATTATTTTTAGATATGATATAAACCAAAAATAATGGCAAGACACTTAATTAAATTTAGATGGAAAATTATTTCAATATCACTTTTTTTCTTCCTCTTAGGAAACTTGGTATCATTATTTTTCATACCAATAAACCAAAAATGCTATGTTAAAACCGATGAAGTCACTCAAAAAGTGATAAATTTAGCACCACAATCACCTAATTTAGTCATACTGATCTTATCAGCACCTAATAATATCTTAAAAAGAAATTCGATAAGAAACTCATGGTTAAATCTAATTAAAAATATACGTAAAGATCAAGAACACGTTCTAATTAAGTATTATTTCGTAATTGGTCATTTAAATTTACCAAAAATTGATATAAAGGGGATTCAAAATGAAAATAATATATACAACGACGTTTTAAATTTGCCCATTCAAGATTCTTATGGAAATCTGACATTGAAACTTATCACATCCTTTGAGTGGTTATTTAAAGACTCTAACATTGATTTTAAATACGTATTAAAATGTGATGATGATAGTTTTGTAAGAATAGATCATTTAATTCACGAATTAATTCATTTGGAAGTTATTTATTTAAAATCATCCATTGATGATGTTCGAAAAATTAATGAACACACTGCGCCATATATTAGTGTTAATATTCAGTCAAATAATGTTTCTTCACATGGAAATAGAGAATTATATTGGGGGTACATGAATGGGGCAGCTACTGTTTTTAAAAAAGGCAAATGGAAGGAACCTTCATGGATTTCTTGTGATCATTATTTACCGTATGCTTTAGGAGGTGGTTATTTAATTTCAAAGGAGATGGTTGGATTCATTTCGAGAAGTAAATATTATTTAAGGTATGTTAATTGCTTAATTATATGCAATAAAGTAAAAATAGGAATAAAGTTAAAAATAAAGTTTTTTTTTAGTGTCATTGAAGAAATTAAATTTACAGTTTCCTGTAAATTATGGTACTATAACTAAAAATTAAAAAAACATATTTCTCCTATCCAAAACAATGCAATCCATTAAATATTTCCGTATTAACAGTTGGTGTAATAAACATAATTATTTGTTTTTAAATACCAGAAAAATAATACCCCGTAATTTAAATACCGGCCCGTAATTTACAGGAATCTGTAAATTTCATTTCTTCGACGACACTTGACTTCGGTGGCGTTTAGAAATTTTATAAAAAAAGTTTATTTTTAGATTTATTCTAAAACAATGAGAAATAAACCTGTCGAACCCTACATTTTTGTAATCAGAAAAAAATAACGAATTTAATAAGCGAATAATCAGTGGTTGTTTCCATTTAAAGAAATGAAAATTGCCATATTTCAAAATCTAAAACCAAAAAAATTTTTTTGACTACGTCATCATATTCTCTGTAAAAAAGTGTCCATACAATGTCTTAGTTATAATACTCCACCTCTAATAATAACCAAGATAATTGCATTTGCTGGTTTTACAATATTTTAAATTTTGACCTCTAGGAGAAAAACAAAAGACGATAGCGCTTTGAGGTTTTCGATATTGGAATTTATTTAAAAAAATAGATCAAGACATGTAAGCTACTTTTTTTCTAACTCTTATAGTTTTCGAGATAGCCTATTCGGACATCGAATTTGAACCACCCTGTACATACTCAAAAGTGTTTTATTTAATTAAGATTTATAAAGTGTAAGAAACTCTCTGCTTAGTATGCTTAGTATTATGTTATTAGAAGTCATTTGTAAGATTTTTTGTCATTTCTAGAAATGTCCCAAAATAATGGAAAAATAATCAATTTTTTAACAAAATCCAATATTTGGAGCATTTATATTTTAATAGTTGCTATTATTATTATTGGAATGTCTTTAATTCCTATTTACATATGGAAAATAAGTTACTGTTCAAACACTATTATTGTATTAATTTTAACAGCTCCAGAAAATGAGATTAAAAGGGATGCGTTAAGAAATACTTACATGGAGATTAAAAAAGTATATCATAAAAAATATGAAAAAATAATTTATTTAAAATATTATTTCATAATTGGCGACGAAAATTTACCTAAAAACGTTACAGAAAAATTAATTTTGGAACAATCAACCCAAAAAGATATCATTTTTGTCCCTGTTAAAGATAATTACGATAATTTAACATTAAAAATGATGGAAGCTTTTTGTTATTTACATAATCGTTTAAGTTTTTATTTCGATTTTAACTACATTATGAAATTTGACGATGATATTTTTGTTAATGTGGAAGAATTAGGACAAGAATTAATTCAAATAGAAGCTAAACATTTAAAATTAAAACTAAATTCGCAGAAAAAATTAAATACTAAATATTTAAGTGTTAATGTTCAAAGTAATGGAAGAAATATAGGAGAAAATTATAAATTATATTGGGGTTTCATGATTGGGAATTCACAAATATATAAAAACGGAAAATATAAGGAATCTAATTGGATTTTATGTGATTATTATATTCCTTATGCTTTAGGAGGTGGATATATATTGTCGAAGGCGATTATTAAGTTTTTTGTTAAAAATAAAAATGATTTAAGGTAAGAATAAAACATATTTATAAGTTTCTATTTATCAATTTTGGGGATATTCTCTTGTACAATTTGGTATATGTAATAATAATAATAATAGTACTTTATTGACCGCAACAACCAACATAAAAAAGTTAAACAACAATATAAAGAAAAAAAATATATATAAATGAAAAATTCATTCTATATGTGAAACTAATTACAATCTGCGACCAATAGGCGGAGTCCAGATTGGCATCCATCGCGATGGAAGCCATCTGTTCAACTCAACCTAGAGTTGAGAATGACTAATAATTACATATTCAATTGTTTTCCGCAATTAAATTAATCAATTCAAATGATTCCCTATATAACCAATAAATAGATAACAACCCAATGTCAGAGCACTGAGGCAGCATAAGGATTATGTTGACCCATCTGAAGCCGAAACAAGGTGTTACGCAAGTTAACTTTAAAAACGGATAGACTTTTATTTTTAAATTCAGGAGGACAGGAATTATACTCCTTGGCCACATTATATGAAAAAGAGCGCCTAAAAAGAGCTTTCCTGTGAGCAGGAACGGCGATAGTATTTTTGTGTCTAAGATTCAAGTTATGAACATCGGTCCTATAGGTGATTTTATTATATAAGTAAGGTGGAGTCCCCGTAGTAATTAACTTGTGCACAAGACACAAGAACTGATGTTTGAATTTGTTTCTGATATTTAACCATTTTGCAGTAACCAATGTGTGACTAATATTTTCACGCTTACGAACGCCATACATAAAACGAAGACAGCTATTTTGAACCCTTTGAATACGATGAAGTTCATACCCAGTTAAACATGGACCATACATGGCAGCACAATGCACAAAATTTGACAGAACAAGTGTTTCGCACAAACGTTTCTTTGTAATTATATTTAAAATGTGTCGGTGTTGATAGAGGCATCTAAGAACACCATATGCCTTTTTCACGCAAGCAGTGACATGACTGCTGAATCGCAGATTGCTGTCGACAAGCACACCCAGATTTTTTGACTCAGGGTACACTACCAGCCTCTCTCCACCCAAAAATATACCGACACTATCAGAGTCCAAGTTACCAAAGATGACTACCTTAGATTTAGTGGCATTGAGAGTTAGTGCCATCTTGTGCGAGCAATCTAAAATAGCGTTCAGATCTGCATTTATTTTTGAGCAAGCAGAAGCGAGGTGTTCCTTTGGAAAGGTTATGTAAATTTGGGTATCATCTGCGTACATGTGTATCGACGAATATTGAATGCACTTAGGCAACTGGGATGTATACAAGGAAAACAATAGAGGAGCCAGAATAGACCCCTGTGGCACTCCCACTCTCACAGGCAGTGATGATGAAGATACATTGTTCAATTTTACTATCTGAGCACGATTGGATAGGAAACTTTCCAAAAGCAAAACCGCTGAGTCGGACAGACCAACATAGCGCAGAAGAGCTAAAAGCATTGAATGGTTAACCTTATCAAAGGCCTTACTGTAGTCCAGCAGTACAAGTATCCCACATAGACCGCCATCACGAGCTCTAATAATATCGTCTGTTACCTTTAATAGAGCCGTTGTACAGCTATGGTTAGGTCGAAAACCAGACTGAGAGGTGGGCAAGATGTTATGATCACTAATATATTTACGCAATTGGACCTCCATGCACCTTTCAAGGACTTTTGAGATAACTGGCAGGATACTAATTGGACGCAGGTCCGCCAAACCTGCTGGATTTGGTTTTTTAGGCAACGGCATTACCAAAGCAATCTTCCAGGCTTCCGGGAAAATAGACTGTTCAAGACAGGTATTTATAATATGTACAATGTAGGGCAATATTTCAGGGAGACACATTCTTATAAATGTGATGTTCAATTCGTCTATACCAGAAGATGTTGATTTAATGCCATTTAAAATTTTAATGATCGAAGAGGTGTCACTGAGTCCAAACGAAAATCTCTCATGGGAATTTGGGTAAAGCATATTTGTACCATAAAAAGTGAGCAAATCATCATCCACATCAGCATAACCAACAGAATTCACAAAATAATCATTAATATTTCCAACATCATCTAAATGTGCGGGAACAGTGGGTTTGGACCTGTTGACAATCTGCAACTTGGATAACAGCCGCCAACTACTCTTTACATCACTAGTCACAAATGTACTATTTAAGAAAGATTTCTTTTCTCGTCGTATTGCAGAAGTCGTTAAATTGCGTAAGGACTTGTAGTAGTCGAAGTGCGCTATTAATTTAGTTCTTTTATATCGAGATAAGGCTCTATCCCTCAGCGACATCATTAGTTTTATTGTGTCCGTTAACCATGGTGCAAATGGCCTATGTAATCTGAGTGACCGAACCGGTGCATGAAAATCTAGAAGTGCCAAAAGATGAGTGTTTAAAAAATGTACTTTCTGATTAACATCAGTTATATGATAGATTGCATAGAGTGGTAACCGGGATAAATCACCCTTCAGACTATAGGCATCTATGTTTGATATAGGTCTACAAAATTTGGTAATCCGAATGGGCCTTGAATCAGAAATAGTAATGTCACATTAAACAAGATTGTGGTCTGACATATGCATCGGTATGCTTGCCTGGTTAATACAACCGTCCGGGTAATTCAATAATCCGAATATTTCTAGTTCTCGGTCTAGTGTTAGTTCTAATATTGCACTAGCACTATCACTAGAACTAGTCGTCTTGAGAAACGTGCGGCTAAATCCGAATGTTTCTAGTTTTCGGTCTAGTGTTAGTTTTAGTGATAGTGCTAGTGTAAAACATAACAACCAAGTCTGAAATTCTGCCAAAACTTGCAATGCAACATTTGACACAATTGTACAAACTGATACTATTGCCAGCGAAATCATAAACGTCCATAAATTATGAAACGTATCCTTAAAAGAAAAGTCAATTACTTTTTGCTGTGTCAAGATCATGAAAGTTACAAATTTCATTATTTATATATAAATATGTGTCAAAGTCATTTTTTTAATTTTACACGAATTGATTATTTAATGTTTTAATTAAAAATGCCCAAAATTAACTCCAGTGATGAACGTTCACAAAGCCGTAAATTGAAAACTTCAAAACAAATTCTAGCGGTGTCGATTTTTCTAATCCTAACGTTTAGTTTTTCCGTTCTCTTCGTGGAATATCGCACGCCAAAAACTGGGTTGTACAATCACATAAATTCGTATTGGATGAAAAGATCCGATCAAATCGATTTGGCCGTTCTGTTAAAATCGGAAATAAATCATACCAAACAACGCGATGTTATAAGAAAAACTTGGGCCAAAATAAATGGAAATTTATCACTCAAAGTGATGTATTTTTTCGTGATTGGTTATAAAAACGTTTCGGAGTCGGATTGGAACGAATTACAAGAAGAAAACAAAAAATTCAAAGATGTTTTAACGTTTTTATCGAACGATGATTTTTCAAGAATTTTTTGGGATTTTATTTGGTATTACGATGTTGGTTTTGTAAAACACGGATTTAAATATTTATTGAAATGCGATGATAGTTGTTATGTTAGATTAAAAGCATTAACTAGAGTTTTAAAAGGATTTGAAACGAATTATTTAGAAGGAAATTTAGATAAAATTAACAAAAGTAATTCAATTTTTGAATCGGTCGAAATTAATAATGTTAAAAACGATAATTATGGACAATTAAAAAAAGATTTATATTGGGGATATTTCAATAATTTTGAAATGATTTCTTACGCTTTTAATGGGGGTTACGTTTTATCTACACAAATTGTTGGATTTTTGGCAAATAATAAAAATTATTTGAGGTACCTATTCTATTAAGTCAAAGCAACATCTATTTCGGTGTATAAATAAATTGTATTTTTTTTATAGATATTACCACTCTGAAGATGTAAGTGTTGGGGCTTGGTTAGCTTCAGTTAATAACATCGTAAGGATACACGATCGGCGTTTCGATACAGAATACGTAAGCAGAGGGTGCCAAAATTATTATTTAATTAGACACAATGTTTCGCCGGATGAAATGATGGAAATGTATAAAAATTTGAAAGAAAAGCGACAACTTTGTACGAAAGAACAACGTAACGTTAAAGAATATCTTTATGATTGGTCTGTAGCACCGACTAAATGCTGCAATCGGGTTTTATAAAAAAATTGTTGTATTTATTTTTATTTGTATATTATTTACTTTATAATAAAACTTAGATTATACACATTTTTGTGTCTTCAAGGAAATTGAGACAGTGGCAGAGAGGAAAGGTAGAGATAGATAGATATATAGAGGCCAGGAGAAAATACAAAGAAGAATGCAAGAAAAAGAAGAGGGAGCTGAAGGAAAATTAGGCTGAGAAGATTAAGGAGTTGAAAGAGGAAAAGGAGGTGTGGAGATACTTAAAGAGGATGAGGAAGGGAAGAGAGGAAATCAGCAGAGATATACAAATGACTGAATGGAGAACCTACTTCATGGGCTTGTTGGGAGGGGTGGAAGAGAGAAGACTGGGAGAGGGAAAGCGAGGGGTGCAAGGAGGAGAAGAGATAACACTGGAAGAAATGGAAGCAGTGTTGATGGCGCCAGGAGAGGATGAGATCCAGAATGAGGCATGGTTGGAGGCGACGGAGACAGTGAAGAAGAACTTATAGAAGGTAATAAACGACGACGTAGGGATAGGGGAGAGGTTTCCGGACAGGTAGAGGATGGCGATAATATGCCCACTGTATTAAAAGGGTGGTGAGCAATTATAGAGGGATCACCCTGTTGGACACAACTTTCAAAATTTATGCAAAGATACTGCTGGGAAGGTTGGAAAAGGAAATGGAGAGGCGGGAATTGTTGCCGGATGAGCAGGCGGGATTCAGGAAGGGAAGGGAGGAAATTGACAATATATACATACTGAAACACCTGGTAGATAGGGAGTTGAACAAGAAGGGAGGAAAGTTGTATGTATTGAGAGGGTGAAAGAGATGTACAGGAAAACGATGGCCAAGGTTAAACTGGGGGAAGAGTTAAACGAGATATTCTGGACGACAGAGGGATTGAGACAGGGGTGCCCGCTTAGTCCCACACTATTTGCAATATATACGGCGGACCTGGAAAGGAGACTTGTGAAGGAGCAAATGGGTGGGGTAGTGATAGGAGGAACAAAGGTGCACGCCTTGGCGTATGCGGACGATTTCGTGGTCGTGGCTAGAAAGGCGGTGGAGATAATGAGATCCCTGGAAAGATATTTTAAGGCGAAGGGGTTGGAGGTAAATGTCGAGAAAACAAAGATAATAAACTTCTGCAAAACCCAGCTGGGTAGCCGTGGTGTTAAGCACTCGACTGGCCAGTCTGGGGGCACAGTGATGGGCGCTGGATAAATACCCGGCGGGTAGGTATTCCCCGGCCCAGGGTAAATACCCAAACAGTGGGTATAAAAGTATACTCACTGTATACCAGTAAAAATATATCAGATTCCAAAAAAAAATGAAGAGGAAGATGATGAGGGCGTTGACTACGAGGAATTGTCAACAATCAAAGACGTATTATCATTAGACGAATCTGTCGTAATTTAGATTAGATCAAGTTATTATGATTATTGTCATCAAGCACCCGCTGCGTCCAATGTTGGACATAGACCTCCCCCATTCTATTCCATTCGATTGTACTCTGTGCTGTCTGAATCCAATTGTTGGTCATTCTTTTGATGTCTACTTCGTCTGTTCGCTTGCGGTCTCCACTCAAGCAACCTTTTTGTCCACTGCTCATTCTTCATTCGCGCGACATGACCCGCCCAGTTCCACTTAAGCTTTGTGATAATGTTGACCTCTCCATCTATCTTTGCGCTACCTTGGACCCTCCTGGCAGTGGCTACCGTTAATGTTAAAGTTTCGGAGCCTCATGTCATAACCGGAAACACGCATTGATTGAAAGCCTTTTCTCTTGAAGATGTCTCTAAGTTTCCCGTAGGCTGTCCATACGAGTGTGACCCTTCTGTTTAGTTCGCTTGTTTGATTATCTCTCGATAAACGAACCTCATAGCCAAGATATACATAACTGTCAACCCTCTCAATCTCATTATTTGTAGATGTTAGAGTTGGAAACGAGATTTATCATAAATTTTGATTTCTCCTTGTTGATATTTAACCCGACTCTTGCACACACCTCCTTCAAGTCGTTCAAAATTAGTTTAATCTCTCCAAGGCTATCCGATATAAGAACTATATCGTCCCCGTAGCGCAAATTACTTAAACATTTGCAATCAATGTTTATGTCTTTTTGGGTACAATCCAGTTGTTTAAATGCACTCTGACGACTGTGATGAACAATTTGGGTTCAACAGTGTCTCGCCTTGTTTTATTCACAATCAGTATTTTAGTACTTTTACTCTCTTCAGTACTTTCATGCAATTTTACCGTCATTGTAGATGTTATAAATAAGTTTGGTATATCGATAATCGACTCTGCATTCTTGAAGTGCTTGCCAAACTGCCATCAACTCAATGTAAATTAAATTTTATAAATACCTCTAAATACCCATCTTGGGTAAATACCCCCAGGTATATATCCAGGAAATTTACCCTTGAAAATAAATACCCGGGTATTTAACAACACTTTGGGGGTCACAGGTTCGATTCCCGCCGTGGCACTGTTTACGGAATAAAAAATTGTGTTTATGTGGTGATGGTCTATCCTTTGTTTCTTCTGTGTTGTCCATCCCCTTTCTGTAAGGGAATCATATCCTGAAATATTTATAAATATACGCAGTAACTGGGCAATAAGGACTAAAGTTTCCAAAGCCCAAATCCATCCTTCCTAGTTTATCAAATCCAATCTAATCCAACTTCTGCAAGGGGGGGGGGGGAAGAAAGAAGGAGGAATGGAGGTAGCAGGGAAGAGAGATAGAGCAAGTGAAAGAGTACACGAACCTGGGATATGGGTTCGCGGAAAATAATACGGTAGGGGCGCACGTGAGGGCGATGGCAAAAAGAGCGAAAAGAACTCTTGGAAGGGACGTGGGAAAAAGAAAAGTTATGTTTGATGGCTTGGTAAGGAGCACAATGATGTACGGCGCAGAAGTATGGGGATGAAGAGAACAAGGATTGCTGGAGGGTATACAAACACGGTATTGGAGATGGGTATTAGGGTTGGCAAGGGAGACTCCAGGGTATGTAGGGAGAGAGGAGGTTAAGGTGGATACAGTAAGGGTGGAGGCTGGGAGAAGAGCAGTGAAGTATGAGGAAATGATAGACGCAAGATCCTGGGAGAGTGCTGCAGGGAAATTAAGGAGAGGAGGCTGATCTATGGATAAAGAGACAGGGAAGAATATTATAGAAGGATATTCACTAACTGGGATCGAAAACAGAAGAGCGGAAAGAGGTGAAACTGAGAGATAAGGACAGGGACATACAGTGGCAGGAAAGAAGGTCACAGATACGAGAAGGGAGATATAATGAAAGATATGGGGTGATAGTGACAGTGAAACTGCTAAACTAATTCTTGATGGAAGGGGATGATGAAGGGAAGAGATTGGTGACCAAATTACGCTGTGGCAATGAGTGGAGTGTGGTATAGGCTATGTGGAGAGGATTAGGAGACGCTGGAACATATGTTGAGAGGGTGTAGTAAGCTAAGGGAGGAGGCAAAGGACAGGAAGCAGATTTTGGGAGAGGGGGCGAGGGCAAAAGATGGATGAGGGAGGTGAAAGGACCCGAAAGTTTCTAGCATTAGTTCTAATTTTTGATTTCTTATGATTTTAATGGGGGTTACGTTTAATCAGACACAATATTTTGGGGATAGATTCAGGGGTTCCGCAGGGAAGCAATCTGGGACCTTTATTGTTTCTATTATTCATAAATAATTTACCTTTGCTAATTAATCCATCTAGATGCTTACTCTTTGCGGACGATCTGAAAATATTCACATCTGTTCGTGATATGTGACTGCCAGTCCTTACAGTCTGATCTGGATAATGTATGCGATTGGTGTCGGCTGAACAAACTTCACTTTAACGTGGCCAAATGTGAATCAATGACATATTTTTTGGGGAGGAAGCCGATAGAATTTGTGTACAGAATAGATAATATAAATTTGAAATCAGTTGTCAGAAAGAGGGACCTAGGTATTATTTTTACCAACAATTTATGCTTTGCCGAGCACGTGAAAACCATAACTTCCGCAGCACTTCGACTCTTAGGANGAGAGGAGGTTAAGGTGGATGCAGTAAGGGTGGAGGCTGGGAGAAGAGCAGTGAAGTATGAGGAAATGATAGACGCAAGATCCTGGGAGAGTGCTGCAGGGAAATTAAGGAGAGGAGGCTGATCTATGGGTAAAGAGACAGGGAAGAATATTATAGAAGGATATTTACTAACGGATCGAAAACAGAAGAGCGGAAAGAGGTGAAATGGGGAGAGAACTGAGAGATAGGGACAGGGACATACAGTGGCAGGAAAGAAGGTCACAGATACGAGAAGGGAGATATAATGAAAGATATGGGGAGATAGTGACAGTGAAACTGCTAAACTATTTCTTGATGGAAGGGGATGATGAAGGGAAGAGATTGGTGGCCAGATTACGCTGTGGCAATGAGTGGAGTGTGGTATAGGCTGTGTGGAGAGGATTGGGAGACGCTGGAACATATGCTGAGAGGGTGTAGTGAGCTAAGGGAGGAGGCAAGGGACAGGAAGCAGATTTTGGGAGAGGAGGAAAGATGGATGAGGGAGGTGAAAGGACCCGAAAGTTTCTAGTGTTAGTTCTAATTTTTGATTTCTTATGATTTTAATGGGGGTTACGTTTAATCAGACACAATATTTCACCGAATGAAATGATGGAAATATATAAAAATTGAAAAAAAAAAGCGACAACTTTGCACGAAAGTTTATATTAATTTTTTACTTTACTTTATAATAAAACTTAGATTATACACATTTTTATGTCTTTAATGTTTTTAAAATATTAGCGAGAGTTTCAATACTTTCTAAATGTAACGGATTATTTTTATCCAACTGTTGAGCGAAATTCGTGATACAACTACTAAACATTTGTAATTGCTGAGTATCGTTTTGTAACCAAACTCTGGGTAAAATCAAACTAATTAACCCAATCTTAGCGACGGCATCAGTTAACGGACAGATTTTAACCGCAGAAAGCAAATAGCGATTTAACAAAGAATTTAAAGCAATATCTTTTATAATGTTATCATTTATAATTCCCTGCCAACTCGTTATATTTCTTAACAATTTTAATCCGCTCGCAAATTGTCTTTGAAAGAACACATTTTTAGACTCAACCAATTTCGGAACAATCGGAATAAAAACGTCGTTCTCCAACGAACTCTTCAATTTATGTAAAATTGCATTGAAAAGATTCAAAAGTGATTTACTTTCAGGACCTAACGTTGGAAAGCGACGAATATAACGACTTACAACGCTTAATAATCGTAAAGTTTGTGTACTGGATAGCGGATCCCAACATTTATCAACTAAGATTGTTAATTTTGGGATAACAACTTTTTCAACAACGCTTGGAAGTAAAGTTATATCAGGATCTCGAGATAAACTGGTTTCAGTTTCGCCTTCGTGAAGACCGTACATTGCTAAAATTCGATACCAATCTAATTTATCAATATCTCCCGTTTCAGTTAAAGGATCCCAAAAAATCATGTTTAACCGAACTAAAGGGCTTACAACTTTTGGCAAACAAACCGTTGCGTAAGCTTCAGTGTAAGCGCTAACATCAGTTTCCCTCCATTGTTCAAATTTAATTAAAATATTTGAAACGGACGAAAAATCTTCAACTACATCATCAAAAACGGTTTGAGCTTCCACCTCAATTTGTTCTCGTTCTTTAATTAACGTTAAAATATCTTGTTGCGAAATCTCATCGTCGCTCGACATTCCTTCAACATGTTTTATTTCTTCGTTAGCTTCTCGACATCGCCTTCTCCTTGTTCTTCGACCTTCTCGCTCAACAGCTCTTCGATTTTTTTCTTCATCTTCACTTTTCCGCACGATATTTCTACTTGGCATATTTGTGACTTCTTCAGCTTGATCACGAACGTCTTGCCGCCGTCTTTCAATTAACCAGTCTGATTTTTTAGCCATAACATCGATAGCTCTTTGTTCCAAAGAATGAATCACCTCAATTTTCTCATCTAAACATTCAACTAAATCAGTTATATATCCCCGAAGTTCCTGATAAAATCGAAAACGACTTGCAGCTTTTGGAGCTTCAAGTTTTAACGCTTCGATTTCATGTGCTGTTGATTCAATCTCATCACGGATTTCTTGTAGCTTCTTAATATTGTTGTTTCGTGATTTAATAACATTTTCGTGGTGCTCAGTGAGTTTTTCGAGAATTGCTTGAGGTGTGCGAGGTATGTCGGGGTTAATTTTTGGGATATTTTCTTGTACGATTTGAGGTGGATTATTTAATTGGTACTCGTTATACAATAATTCTTGGTTTAAAGCAGCTGCTGTAACCCCTTTTCTTATTTGTTGATCCTCCCACTCATCTGCTTCTTCTAAATCGGAAATTTGAGCTTCAAAAAATTGTTCTCTTCGCCTTTCTTGGTCTCGAATAACAGGATTCGCTCCCATATCTATTCTTTCTTCGTCGCTTCCATCGTGTTCATCTTCTCGTAGTAATCGCCCTTTATCTTCCATTTCCTCCTCTTCAAATGGGATGTGGTCACCTAATTCTCGAGCACGTTGACGACGTTTTCTTGCTGCATGAATCATCGCTGCATCGGGAATAGCTCCTGATTCTAAAACGTGTTTAAAATTGTCAGGTTTTGAAAATTTATAACTTGGTTTTCCTGGATTATCATCATCTTCGGAACTTAAATCATCTTTTCCAGCACATAAAGCATCTCTTCCACTTAAAATGGGTATTTGAGGTGGAGATGGGGGTTTATGGCTTGAATTTACCACCAAAATTAAATCATCTGTTACAATTTCGGTTGGTTTATACTCTTTAAATTTTTCTTTAACCTCCTCTTTTTCTTTTAAATCTTTTTTACGGCGTTCTTTTTCGTACATTTTCATCAATTTCTTACTATGATTTGATTTTTTTACTTGGAAAACTTCACCTTCCTCTTCAGTTTCAAAACTAAGAAGGGATTTCGGTTTGTGTTTAGCCGTTTTCTCTTTCGATTTGGATTCCTTTTCTTTTTTTGGGACGTCCACTTCCATTTCTTCGTCATCTTCATCGTCTTTTTCAGAAAATACTCTTCTTTGAATCGACTTTTTTGGTTTTCTAAAAAGGGACATTTTAGAAGTGTCAAAAACGTAAAGTTAGGTTATGTTTAGACCAAAATCTAGGGGAATTTCAGTCTGTTGAGTAAACAACTGTTGTTATGAACGTATCCCTCCGCAAAGGCCTTGTTGTAACGTCATTGGAAGAATTGACATTTCTATGTTTTTATTTATACACTGTATTTCACTTAAGAAGCAATATAAAAAAAAGAAAATAAAATATAAAGCGAAATATTAACGGTTATAATTTTATTATTGTTAGGTTATCCACCTTGACGCGGTTACCATGGTGATTAAGATCCAAATATTGCAGGTACTTGTCAAAATTGAAATTGAATTTAAGTTTTTTTAAGAGAAAAGTCTTATTTAATTGGTTTAAAAGGCTGTATTTAACTCAAAATTGGTTTATCTAGGGTTTTATAAACAAGGTAAGTGGCTTAAATCAAAAAGAGATGTTTTTAATTTATTTCTCTTAATTAGAATCGATTTAAATTCACTACAATTAACGAATTTGTTATGAATGCGAGATAATCGTAAAGAATTCGAATTGTTTTAAAATTAATAAAAATTAAGTTAAAATTGATAAAAAATCGGAATAAAATTCTTTTATTTTAAGGTTATCCAACTTGTCTCGGTTACCATGGTGATTAAGATCCAAATATTGCAGTTGCTTGTCAAAATTGACGTTGAATTTAAGTTTTTTTAGTGAAAAACACAATTAATGGGATTTAAAGGTTGTATTTAATTCAAAATGGGTGAATGGATGAAATTATAAGCAAGGTAAGTGGATTAATAAAAAAAAAAAAAATTTTAGATCAATTAAAATGTACAAGAATTTAGGGTTAAATAACAATTAAAACTAGAACTAACACTAGACCTACAACTAGAAAGTTTTAGGTTTAGCCGGGCGTCTTAGACAAGAACTTAGAAAAGTCTGATGAAAAGTATTAGTCTCAAAAAACCAAAAAGTTCCAACTTTCAAGTTTTAATTTTGACATATTTGTCAACTTCATAAAAAATCCTTTAAAATGAGTCCAAATTTGACATATTTAGCTTTAATANTTAAATCAATTAAAATGTACAAGAATTTAGGGTTAAATAACAATTAAAACTAGAACTAACACTAGACCTACAACTAGAAAGTTTTAGGTTTAGCCGGGCGTCTTAGACAGGAACATAGAAAAGTCTGATGAAAAGTATTAGTTAAAATGAGTCCAAACTTGACGCATTTATCTCAAAAAACCAAAAAGTTCCAACTTTCAAGTTTTAATTTTGACATATTTGTCAACTTCATAAAAAATCCTTTAAAATGAGTCCAAACTCGACATATTTAACTTTAATATTAATGGAAATACAATCACTTCCGGTTTGAAACGTCAACGTCAATTTTGACATATTTGTCATCTTCATTAAAAAACCTTTAAAATGAGTCCAAAGATGACGCACTTATCTCAAAAAACAGAAAAGTTAGAATAAAAAACGTTAAACCCGAAGTTAGCAACAATGAAGATAATAATTTAATTATTAAATGTTAATACCAACTTTAATTTTTAATTTTTTTGTATTGTATTTTTGTCTTTGTGATAAATTTTAAGACATTTAAAAAAATTAAGAATTTGTCGAAATGTCATTGACATTTCAAACCGGAAGTTGCTTATATCTCGACTAATATTGGAATTAAACGTATCATGTTTGGGCTCATTTTAAAGGATTTTTCACGACAATTGTCAAAATTGACGTTGACATTTCTAATCGGAAGTTGACCATAACTTCATTAATATTGAAGATAAATATGTCGTGTTTGTACTCATTTTAAAGGATATTTAATGAAGATTACAAATATGTCAAAATTGAGGTTGATATTTTAAATCTGAAGTTAGTTATCATATAATAGACAAATTGACAACTTCATGGTGTTCTTTTATGATGTATTCTTTATTTAAAAAAAACCATTAACATGAGTCCGAACATAATGTTGCTAGATATCACTATGTTGTATATTTTTATTGCACTAAAACTAGAACTAACACTAGACCTAGAACTAGAAAGCTTTTTTTCTAGTTCTAGGTCTAGTGTTAATTCTAGTTTTAATTGTTACTAAGCGTTAAATTCTATTTTTACTGAAATAGAACTAACATTAGACCCAGAACTAGAATCATTCAATTTTTAATTTTTTTTCAAAAATTATCTGTTATAAGAGTACTAAAATTTTACGTTATCGTAACGAGTAAACAAATCTCTATCAAATGAGCCTAACGAAATATCACAGTATTTTTATTGCAATACGTGATTTGCGTATGATGTGTGATATTGGTTGCATACTTGTAATGATGATGTCGGGTACGATAATTAATTAACACACTGTATTATATTCCATACATAATGGGCATTCTGTATATTATATTATACTTTTCCTCCAATGACGTCACGTTTCCTACCTCAGTTGGATAACCTTATAACCAATGCTGAACAGACCTTGGGGGAATTTGTTGTATTATTTATTTAAAAATAATTTATATTTACTTTTTTATTTTAAATTTTGATTAATCGAAAAAGTTTGTTTCAATTGATACATAACAATTTAAAGTTTTATTATAATAAATAATTGTGTCAAATTTGACATTTAATACATAACCTATTTTTATATCAATTAAGGTTAATTTATTTGACAATATTCCGTACAATAAATAATTACGTAACTTAGGTAGGAATTTAATTCGGCGTTTATTTATAATTTTTATCAGGACTTGAACCTTTAACCTTATGCATCGTAATCAACGTAATATTGTATGTAAATGTTTGTTTATTAATCGCACCTTATGACAGTGCCTTAAGGATAGAAAACGACGAGTCAGCAATTACATTTTAAATTTTCCGTGAATAACATTAATGAGAAAACCAGTTTCGAAGGAAGACACACTTTTAAAACGCTTTTAGTGTTCAAGGATCGCGTTATCATTGCGTTACGTCAACAATTTGTATATTTTGAAGTGATTTTAAGTGATTAAAAAATGCCGAAACCGAATCAAGTAGAAAGTAAAAAGCCAATTAGAAGTCCGGCGAAAGAGATGTTAATTAAAGCGTATTTACTTAGTTATAATTTTATACAAACTTTAGGGTGAGTATCTGTAAAAGGGATATTGAAAGATTTTATTTTTCTAATTTGTAGTTGGTCTTATTTGTTGTATCAAATATTTGAGTTTTATTTATTGAAACGTGAGGGGACCTTATATGATCAAGTTGGAACAACTTTATTAATATTTCAAAATGCTGCTATCTTAGAAGCTGTTAATGCGATATACAAATTAATAAGTTCAAATCCTGCAATAGTTATCCCACAGATTTATTCAAGAATTTTTGTCGTTTGTGGCATTTTATTACCTTTATCGGATTCTCAAAGTACAATCGGATTCCCACTTTTATTATTCGCATGGAGTATAACTGAAATTATACGATATTCTACTTATACCTTGAACTTGATTAATATTCAATTGTATATTTTAAAATGGTTAAGGTGAGTTTATAATATTTAATGATTGGAGTAATTTAGTAATAACATTTTTTGTAGATATACATTGTTTATTGCTTTATACCCAATTGGTGTAACTGGTGAATTATTATGTATGTATTGGGCTGTAATGGAAGTATCAAGAACAAAGTTATGGTGCTGGGAGCTTCCAAATAAGTACAATGTAGTGTTTTATTACCACTTTTACATTGTCTTCAATATGATTTTATATATCCCAAGTAATTTTTTAATACATAACCTCAAACGTCAAAATATAACCTTACTTTTTGTTGTAGTTTTCCCTCAATTATATTTACATATGTTTTCGCAAAGAAGAAAAGTCTTAGGGGCATCTACAAAAAAGACAAATTGAAGTGTATTAAAGACAGTAAAGTTTTATGGGCAAGGGGTCAACTTAATACGTAATTTTTTATAAATATATCCATTCCATTTCAAACAACTATTTTGTTTACTTTTTTTTGGTATTAATTTATTGGAGTGTATTTCTATAAAATCATTTTCATAAAAGATATTTATTGTTTAATTTCATTTTTCCTTGTAAATATGAAAATAGTCAATAAACAATTACATCAATGGAAAACTTATTTGTTATTTATGCAGTGTTTAAATTAATTGCTTGACGCAATTGGCTTTTTATTCAAACAAAAAATCGATAAAATACTACCTAGAATTTCTCACATTAAATGCAACATAGCTTAATAGTACAGGCATTGGGGAGTTTTACTTGGAAAAGGTGACATCCTTCTGATAACTCTGAGATTCCATCTTAACAGACGCACTGCTAAACTTGAATACTTCTAGTTCTAGATCTAGTGTTAGTTCTAGTTTTACACTAACACTGTCACTAGAACTAACACTATACCTAGAACTAGAGTCATTGGGGTTACCCACACGTCATTAAAGGCGGCTAAACCAGAATGATTCTAGTTCTTGGTCTTGTGTGAGTTCCACTTTTAGTTCAATAAAAATATACAACAATCTAGCGCTGCACAACAATTAAAACTTTATTTAGAAACCAGTTAAACCACTTAAAGGTTGCTTCCCGGCGCTTTGTGATCCACCGTGATCTTCAAAGTATAGATAGCAGCCGCTTTACCGATTGCCTGAATAGATGCTAAGGTGGAGTACTTTAATTCCAAGGTTCTTGACCTCTATGACAGGCATGCTCCGGAGAGTTAGACACATGCTGGCACCTTGGCTGATTGATGAAATCGGGAACATTATCGCAATCGTTATAATCATCGTTGCAGAAACGCTAAAAGATTGTACTACTGTCAGAGGTTGTCTAGAGCCACTCATAAGACATTTTGGAAAACAATGCGATCATTTGATGTTATAGAGTCTCCCACAGATCAACCCACTTTTGATGCTGCTGCTCTGGCGGAGTATTTTGCGGATCCTCCTGTGTTGGTTGATAACATAACTAGGCACAATACTATTAATGAAATCTACCAACCTGCTTTCTTTTTCATTCAGCTTGGTTACAGATGCTGAGGTCCGGGATGCTTTAACTTACTCCAAGTCCACTAGTGTCGGAGCAGATGGTATTGGTCTCAGATTCCTCTTACCTATTCTGGATATAGTTATTACTCCCCGAACTCATATTTTCAACTGTTCTTTTGAATAATCTATATTTCCGTCAATTTGATGAATCGCCCATGTTATTCTTATCCCGAAAATTAAATCTCCGTCCCATGTTGGTGATCCATTTCTATTCTATCTATGTTCTCAAAAGCTATTGAATGTTTAGCTTATTTACAGATTCAGAAATATCTTGAGCAGTTTAATGTGATTAACAAGTTCTGGTCTGGTTTTCGTGAAGGGCATGGTACTACTACAGCACTGATTCAGATCACCACATTACTCCATATCGTAACAACCTGCAGATGATGACTTGCCAGAGTTGTAGATCATTTCGTATGCTTACTATGTTGTACAAAATTGTCCATGCCCGCACTCCTGCTTATTTGTCTGATGCCTTTCACTTTTTAGCATCACATGACTTGCCCACTCGATCAATGTCGGACTTTACACTTATGTTTTCAGTCCATAGTACTGAAATCTACCACAGGTTTTTTATAGTGCAGTCGATTGCGTTGTGGAACGATTTGCCTGCCGTTGTTCGCAATGCAGCTAGTTTAATAAGTTTAAAAAATGCCTTGAGGCGCCATGTGTCTACCTTTCATCTATCTTTTGCTGCACTCTTTTGTGTCTATTTCCTTCCTTGTAATAACTGACTGTCGATCCGTTACATAATTCAAATATGCTCATTCGCTCAGTTTTATTAGTATATCATTTAGTATTACTTTTTTGGTAGCCATAATTATTTGTTAGTGCGTCTTCAGACGCACGGCTAAACCCGAATGTTTCTAGTTCTAGGTTTAGTTTTAGTTTTACACTAGTACTGTTACTGTGTAGAACTAACACTATACCTAGAACTAGAATCATTTGGGTTTAGCCGCACGTCTCTAAAGACGGCTAAACCCGAATGATTCTAATTCTAGGTATAGCGTTAGTTCTAGTTTTACACTTGCACTGTCACTACAACTAACCCTAGATCTAGAATCAATTGGGTTTAGCCGCACGTCTCTAAAGACGGCTAAACCCGATTAATTCTAGTTTTAGGTATAGTGTTAGTTCTAGTTTTAGTTCTATAAAAATATGCAACATATAAGGAATGTTACGTAAGGTTAGTTCTGTTTACAAACATTAATTATAGCGTGAAGTTTTCTTTAGTAATTAGTAATGCCAATTATAGCGTGAAGTTTTCTTTTGAAATGCCAATTAAACCGTGAAGGAATGTTAGGTAAGGTTAGTTCTGTTTACAAACATTAATTAATGTTTGTACATACGTTCACAGGCGGTGCTGAAGATATTCCAGACATGTTTCAGACACATTTGTAGCGAAATGTTTCAAATGAAATGTTTCTGCTACATATTTTAATGATATTTCATAAATATTTCTACTGAAATGTATTTGATACATAACTTTAGATACGTTTCGTAAAAATCGTATCTGTCACGTATATGAAACGTAGTTCTAAGATGTTTCATTTAATTCACTGTACGTTAAAATTGAAATGTTTCACAGAGGTTTCTTGTTTACTGGGTAGTGATATTTTATGCTAACTAGCGCTACCTACCAGCCGTCTTAAGAGAGGTACGACTAAATGGAATGTTTCTAGTTGCAGTGTTAGTCTAGTTTTATTTGTTGACACTACATTTCCCGTATTGATCCGTTACATAGAGGTTACATACTGTAATGTCAAATTATATTGCACTTCATATCAAACAGAGTAAGTAGGTACACCCTAATTTCTATGGAAACATATTTTTGTATATTGCGTCTCAACTGAAAATCACTGTAGAATGAGGTAAATTAAATTTTAATTGTGGGATAATTGTGAAGAGAGGAGATATTAGTGTCCATTTATTGCAATTAAAATGAAATAGCTGCGTTTGGAATCGTATTATTTTGGTTATAACTTTATTTAATTACAACTTTTAATAGCTTTTTCTATAAATTCTGACATAATTGGATAAATAGGATCAAAATTAATCGAGTTTTTCTGCCTAATTAACGTAACGTATCTTTGTAAAGCCCCGGCGATTAAATCTAAACGTTCATATTCCGAAACGTGCTCATCCAACCACGTCGATAGTTTCTGTATCGTCCACCCTGTATTTTGATGTGGGCTAGCCAATTCACTCCCAGCATAAGAAAACAACAAAAACAATACTGTACTATGAGGAATTGAACTTCCTGAATCTTGACTTGCTACTATATCAGTTGGTGATTGTATTATAAGTGTTGCCATTGATTTTAATAATCGATATGGATGCCCCAAATCGAATAAATGGGGACATATCACTTTTAAAGCTTGTTCTAAATGATTAAAATCTGCTTGAAGTCGTAATCGTCCCCCTTGGGAAATAGGTCGTAAAATCGACGTGTGTCTAACGAGTAAATCTATGCATCTCATTGCGATCGAATGGCATTTTTGAGTTAAACACTCCTTGTTACTAAAAGGGCTTAAATAAGTTTGATACGATCGTGTTATAAATTGAACAAGTTCGCGCATGTATGGGCTACAAGATTGAGTTGATTTAGTTGGTGGAATTTGAAGTTTTGTCCAATCTGTTTCAATGTGGATTGTTATTATTATTGTTTCAACTGTTAGTTTAACTGAATCTAAAAAAAAATAATATGATTAAAAATTATTAATAATTTAATAAATCCTACCAATTAACGGATCTAAAATTGATCCAGTTAAATTATCTAAGCTTGATAATGTTTCGTTTATAGACACAACACTTTCAATGGGTAAACTATCTTTCATGTTTGATAAAATTCTTTGTATTTGTACTTGAAAATAATACATCGAGTTTGCTAATTGGATATTGTGTTGTTGTCCTGAATTGACAGCCCCGCCAACAACTTGGGCTGCTTCAGGACCAGTTACAATTTGTTGCTCAGTTTTAACTCCATACAATTTGATGCATTTCGAAATGTTTTTAGCGATTTTTTCATTTAAATTGTGTTCAACTAACGTTACACTTAATTCGCTAAAACGAAAAGAAATTAATTCAAGCTTTATTAAAATTTAAAAAAAAGGAAATTACGTCGTGATTAATCGTATCAATGAATCAATTTGATCATGACTTGGAGTGTTTAATTCATTATTAAACATATTCTGCGTTGGTTCTAAGATCCTATTTAATGAACTTGATAAATAGGAGTTTTCGCATTTTTCAAAAATACTCCGACTAAAAAATAAACAATAATTTTCAATCGATTAATCTTCAAAAAAAATCTTACTCAAATTTAAAATTATTATAATTTAATTTCAAGGTCATTTCGTAATAACATTTTAATAATTTCGGATAATCATCTTCTAGCATTTGTTGAACGGCGGAATTGGAATTCTCAATCTCCTCTTTTATACATTTACTTAATTGGTTCCAAAAATCCGGTGAAATCTCATTTTGCTCAACAATAACGTTCATGTTATTCAATGTCGTTTCTAAAAATTTTATTTGTCGACATTGTTTGTAAATCTCTTCTGAAAACGCTTTCTCTAAATCGACCCAAATACGACTTCGAAACCCTTGAGATGATGACAGATTCGCTTTTCCCGGTCCAACTTTATTCTTATTCAAATTTCCTGTTATATTCACATTTAAATCAAACGAAGCTTTTAAACTTTCTCGACATTCCGATAACGAAATATCGATTGCATTTTGTATTGCTGTTTTTATTATTCCCATATTAATAAATATCTAAAATAAAATTTTTAGAACAATTTTTTAATAAAATTCACTAAGGCTAAGTGTAATTAACCTGAGTGAATAATAGCTCATTACATGTGAGTAGAATACTATACTTTGTCCACGACTACTATTGAAATTGATTTCACAAATTTATTTTCTTAAATAAATTTTTGAATAAAGTTTAAACGTCAATGTGACAGAAGAGTCATCATGTCGCTTAAAAATCGACGGAAAATCACTCAAGTAAGCTGTTACAAAAAAAAAAGTGCGGAAACGTTAAAAACTTAAAGTTTCGCCGTGACGTCACTTTTTGTGACGTCATCGACCATACTAACCATATATTTTCGCAACATATTTGGTTAAAACGCGTATTTTCGGGTGAAATACGGTTGTTCTTAGGTTTTCGACAGACGACGACTAAAATGTAGTTGTTTATCATCTATAAACTAAAAATATCTGATGCCCGGTTCCTGAATGCTAGATACTATTGGCAAAAGACTAATTATTGCTAACAGAAGATTAAATACTGCTAGTACTATTTCAAAAAGTTACCTACTGCTTCTAAAATGCTATATACTGCAGAAAAAGACCACAACTTACTTGGAAAAGACTAGATGCTGTTTTGAAAATACTACCTATTGCTTCCAAAATGCTAAACACTGCTGTTAAAGGTTTTGACCTACTTGGATAGGCGGAATACTGCTTCCAAGATCACTTATTGCTTTCAAAGACTTTAATAATTGTTTGGAAAAGAGATATGCTTTCGAAAAAGCTACCTACCGCTTCCAGAATGTTAGATACTGCTGGAAAAGACTAATAACTACGTGGAAAGAAGAGATATGCTTCCCAAAAAGCTACCTAATGCTGTCAAAATGCTAAATACTACTGGAAAAGACTAATAACTACTTGGAAAGAAGAAATATTTTCTCCAAAAAAGGTACCTACAGCTTCCAAAATGCTAAATACTGGTGGAAAAGATTACAATCTGCTTGGAGAAGACTAGATAGTGCTACAAGATAGTGATACAAACTGATCACTATGAGATACCGCTTCCATAAGACTACTTACTGCTTTCAGAGCGCTATATACTACTAGAAAAGACTACAACCTGCTTGGAGAAAACTAAATACTGCTGGGAGAAACTATTATCTGCCTAGAAAGAAAGATACTGTTTTCAATGACTATTTAATGCTTTCAGAAGACTATATACTACTGCCAAAACACTACTAGGTGCATGGAAATTACAATACTACTCGCTGAAAAGTATTTACTGAAACTATTCTTCTGTTGAGTGATATCTTTCTGCGTCCCTTCCATTATAGATCTAAAAAGCTGCTACAACACTTGATTCTTTGTCACCTAGATGCGACATATCTTTTTAGAGGGGGGTAAGGCCCCTTCTTTAAACGTTACATTCGTATCCACCTAATTTATTGATTTATTTCAGAATTTTGTGCAAAAAATCCACTTTGAGTTAGGTTAATGAACATTTAAACCGGTGCGAATTTCTCAAATGTCGGGTTTGGCATGGAGCAGAGGGTGGGTTGTAAATTCCAGAGATTACATTAAACCCGATACTTTCTAGTAGTTCTAGTTAAAACACAGTTTATTGATACAGTCTGTCTAACGACAGGTAGTCAGTCGTTATGCATCAAAAACCTAAGAAAAACAAGGTGTTTCATCCGAAAATATACGTTGTAATCTCACCTAGTTTAGCGAAAATAACTTTACTTTTAGGTTTATCAGATTGATTTTGTGCGCGGCTATAAAATAAACAATTTGTAAGATAGGTGTTGACTAGTTTTATAGAAAAATGCATGGTTAACATTGCTTGTGACGTCACATCAAAACGGTAATGTGAGTCTTCGGTGTGTTCTATACTTTTCCGCACTTTTTTTTATTTTTAACTTGTTTTTTGGGTCATTTTACATTGATTAAAAAAAAATCGTCGATGATTTTTGAATTTTTCCCAAATTCAATGTTACCAACTGTAACCAACTTCACAACAATTTGTCAAAATTAAATGTCAATTTTATGAAACGTCGTTTTTTTTGCAAAATTTAATTAATTTATGCTTAAACAGGAAAAAAGGAACTTGTTAAGGCTTTTTAATGTCAAACCTTTAGAAAGTCCTAAAAAATTAAATTAAATTGACGTTTTTTGAAATTTTGACGTTTCAAATAATTATTATTAGTCTGTCAAGTTAATTATAAATAATGATTATTCAGGGCTATTATTCAAATGACTACCATTTTGATTCAGAAAACTCATTTATAAGGTAGTTGTGGATAAATATCTTTTTTTAAACATACTTGAAGTGCAGTTGTCGTCTGTATCATATTCTCATTAACAACACTTTGATGTAACATAGTATTTGTTGTTTTTACAATGTTTTGATGTTGTTCTTTAATATTTCTTAACTCCAAAGTGATTGCATCAATGTCTGAAAGTTCCGGATCAGCAGCTAACTGTTCCAATTCTTGCAAAATTGTCGCTTTTTGTATTGGATCATTCGTGTTAGAAAGACGTTTGCTTAATTGTTGCATTCGATTAACTTGGCGCAAAATATGACTCGCTAAATGTAACCTTGATAACATTTTCGTATGTTTTTCTAACGCTGAATATGGACCATGTATCTAATAAGATTAAAACGTTTGATTTGATTTAAAAAGGTTTTTGGAAATTTTACTTGTAATTTGAGCCGTTCTGCGTTTGCATATAAGTTTTGAACGTGTAAATTCATCGTATTTAAAATATCTTGTAGTTTGGTGGCATGATTTGCTTGCCTTAATAAATCATTATGTTTCTCTAAAACTTGCGCGTTCAATTCTTTACTTAAAGCATCGATACCATCCCCTAATTTCTTTACTTGTTCCGTTATCGAAAGTGTTGTTAAAAGATTTGATCGGACGGAGGTTTGCAAGAACTTTTTGTAAAAATCTACGAATCAATTAAAAATAAATCATTTCATAAATAAAGATATACTTAATTACCATCATTTTCAATACTTTCCAATATAGTATTATCTTCCATTATTTAATTATTATTATTTTTTATAATTTATAACCTCAAAAACGAACTCCACGTATAACTGTCATTAGTTCGTTTTGACATTTGGGATACGTTCATGAATTAAGCGAAAAGAATTATTTTAAAAAATCAAATCTAATTAGAATGTTTAATTAAAAATAAAAAAGTATTATTTAAATAAATACAAGAAAGATTTTTTTAATTTTAAATATTACCCGAATAAATAATCAAAGTGACATAACCTAAAAACGTCATTTTTTAAAGGTTATGTTTACAAAATGAATAAATTAAAACTTCTTCATGAATTAATTCGATTAAATACCTATAAAAAACCTGCAATAAACTACACTTTAATAAGATGTGTAAAAACGGATATACAAAAAAAAGAAGAGAAAGATATAGTTGGTATCGCGAAAGAAGTGGAAGATTTCAAAATTTCAAGATCGGCAACGATTAGAAGACTTGTTTACCTTTTTGGAGTTGATCAAAACGAAGCTTTAGACATGGTCTCAAAGCATAAACAATTATGCTACGTAACGGGTCACTTATTGAATGAAAACTATAAATTATGTGTAAATGCGGGAATGAGAAACCCGACAATTTTAAAATGTGTTGATGTGCTGGTGTTCGATGATCTTCCGTTACGACTTAGTATTTTATCGAAAATTGGGCCTATCAATAATATGGCACCTTTATTAACACTACCTCCTCCTACTTTATTAAAACTTCAAAGTGAGTTTGCAATCAAAGGAAATGTTATTTATAAATTAGCCGAGTTGTTAGAGGTTAGTAGTTTTGAAATTAGCAAACAATTTGTTAAAAAAGCGTTCTTATTGAGACTTAATTTTGAAAAGGTTTCTCAAATTATTGAATTGTTTAAAGAAAATAATATCACAGGACAAATGGTAGCAAATGATTTAACTGCATTAAGGTATTCTTTACCTACAATTAAAAACAGAATAGAATTTGCTAAAACTTGTGGTGTTCTCGAACTAAAAACGTGGATGATTAGAGTTGATCCTCAAATTTTTCAACAATACATTAAAATAAGATTGGAAAATAAAGAAATTATAGGAAATAAATCAGTAGCGGAGTATTTATCAGAACGATTAGATTGTTCGTTAGCAACCGCCAACTATTTAGTTTATAAGTTACCAGCCCTAAACAATAAAAGTGTGAAGAAAATGTCGGAATTAATCGATTTTTTGTATGCTCAAGGATACACTCCTGGTCACATTTGCAGAGTCCCGAAAATTTTACTCCATAGTATTGAAACGACAAAGAAACGTTTGAAAATACTTAACGAAATTGGAGTTCAAGTTAACACAATGTATGTTCTCATTAAAAGTCAAAAATCATTTCAAGAGTATTACGACAATTTAGTTAAGAATTTAATGAAAAGAAATAAAATTCAAAAGAAACCTTAAAATGTTTTTTATTTATATTTCTGATTCGCCTTTCACCTTCGTTAAATATACAGTTGAATTACAATTAGTACTGTCGCTGCAGATGTGTTTGAAGATCTTGACTTAAATCATGTGTCCATTCAACTCGACCTCAATGTCAAAACTCTAAAAATACCGACATTACCATCCTCATATATACTTACAAATAATTTAAAACACTTAAAATTTGCATACAGGTTTACTCCAAGTGCTCGTTTCAGCTAAAATATTTCCAGTTTTCTCCAACTTACAGTTATACAGGAAATAGACCCCAACTTCGTTATTTTAAATGGAATGTACCAATTTTTATAGAATTTTCGAGATCCCCGCCAAATTTTAATATAATTTGATATAAGTCATCACATGTTTAGAGTGCACCATTTTTGAATTATTTCAGTTTTTTCGAAAATTTTGACAGATGCAACTCTTCACAATAAAAATAATTTTTCGAAATTACACTGGAGTCCGGCCAAATATTCTCAGAGTTTGCACAGAGAGAACCAAAGGCTTACATAACCCTTAAAAAGTTTTTCAAAAAATTATATAGGTGGTCAGAAATTTGCGCCGAAATCGAAAACTTAATTTTTTTTAAATGACAACCCCCATTTTTCCTTCATCAGTGCATTGTACGCTGGAAAATAAGGGAATTATATGGTTTTCGTAGAAATTTGAAAAAAAAATGAAATTTTCTTGGTTATTAGTAAATTTAAAATTATCAGTTGGCTTTATTTTGAAGCAACCAAACCGAAGAAACAAAAACTATCGTATTAAGACAAATAATTTGATGTTTACGTAGAAAAAAGGCCAATGGCCAGTTTGTTGCAAAGCACAAAAGAGTTAAACCAATCGTAGATAACGAAGAAAATGAAATTACAGTTTTGGGGTACTTTAGAGCGTATCCTGAAAATTCGTTATTAGATGCTAAAAGAAATTTGGGAATATCTGAAAAAAGCAATCACAGGATTTTAAAAACATAACTTTCGTCCTTATTCTTACTCATTGGCACAAAGTTTAAGGCCAGGTGACGATCATAAGAGAATTGTTTTTTTTTGAATTGATGTTGATTAAAACTCAAGAAGATGACGATTTTTTGGAAAAAATACTGATGAGGCAAAATTTCAGCCGCTAAATCTGAACTGGAATCAGCTGTGGTACATTTTTTGACATTTAAAGCTGTCAACGGCGTTATTTCCGTGCCTACTTTGATTATAAATTACTTATTTCATATTTTCAAACAACGCATTTTTCTCGATTTTTTTCTTATACAACCATATGATTTGATATGTTCATCGTAGAGAGGGACTTATCCTCTATCAAAGTATGCAAAAAAAACATATGCATCCCATTTAAAATAACAATATTGGTTGCCATAGCAACGAAACAAAAAACAATGTAAACGAGCAAATATCACCAAAAAATGCGCCACAATTAATAAATAACTTTTATTAAAAACATTTTTCTTTAAAACCACAAATGACAAAGTTATTGGCTATACTCCAGACATTTGACACACCCTGTATAATGAATTATTACCCCACTTTAAAACATTGAATATGAAGAGTTTTAAAAGACAGGTCTAGAATATGCTCTTGGAAAAGAAATTCTACTGTACATTTTGATGCATATTCAATAAACTTATTCTTATTATTATTAATGATCCAACTAAAAACAACAATAAATTTATTTGTAGGTTATAAATATAACTTAAGAAGAAAATTAAATTTCTACCTGAAATTCTTCTTCAAGTCTCAATTTATAAGGCCGTATTTATATTATGGGATGTATTGGGGGATATAAATGTATTATAAACAGGTTTTGAGTCATACATGAAGGTTTCGGCACGTTTGTACGTTTTTGAAAAATACAGGTCCGTAATGACAATTTTGTCGGAATCGAAACTATCAGTAGAACTAACACAAGACCTAGAACTAGAATCATTCGGATTTAGCCGCACGTCTCCAAGACGGCTAAACCCGAATGATTCTAGTTCTAAGTCTTGTTAGTTCTACTGATAGTTCTAGTTTTAGTTCAATTAGAATATGTAACATAGCGATATCTTATGTTGACTAGCGCTACCTACTACTGTCACCGAAAAGATTAAAATATTAAAATGACGAGAGAACTAGAATCATTCGGGTTTAGCCGTCTTGGAGACGTGCGGCTAAATCCGAATGATTCTAGTTCTAGGTCTAGTGTTAGTTCTAGTTTTGCACTAGCACTAGAACTAACACAAGACCTAGAACTAGAACCATTCGGGTTTAGTCGTCTTGAGAGACGCACGACTAAACCCGAATGTTTCTAGCTCTAGGGTTGGTTTTAGTTTTACACTAGCACTATCACTAGAACTAACACAAGACCTAGAACTAGAACCATTCGGGTTTAGCCGTCTTGAGAGACGTGCGGCTAAATCTGAATGATTCTAGTTCTAGGTCTAGTGTTAGTTCTAGTTTTGCACTAGCACTAGAACTAACACAAGACCTAGAACCATTCGGGTTTAGCCGTCTTGATAGACGTGCGGCTAAATCCGAATGATTCTAGTTCTAGGTCTAGTGTTAGTTCTAGTTTTGCACTATCACTAGAACTAACACAAGACCTAGAACTAGAACCATTCGGGTTTAGCTGTCTTGAGAGACGTGGGGCTAAATCCGAATGTCTCTAGTTCTAGGACTAGTGTTAGTTCTAGTTTTGCACTAGCATTAGAACTAACACAAGACCTAGATCTAGAACCATTCGGGTTTAGTCGTCTTGAGAGACGCACGGCTAAACCCGAATGTTTCTAGCTCTAGGGTTGGTTTTAGTTTTACACTAGCACTATCACTAGAACTAACACAAGACTTAGAACTAGAACCATTCGGGTTTAGCCGTCTTGAGAGACGTGCGACTAAATCCGAATGATTCTAGTTCTAGGTCTAATGTTAGTTCTAGTGACAGTGGTAGATAGCGCTAGTTAACATAGTGATATCTTATTATAGAATTAGAATCTAATTGAACTAAAACTAACACTAGACAATTTAAGGAAAAGAAATAAACTTCAAAAAAATCCTTAAAATGTTTTTTTATTTATATTTCCGATTTGCCTTTCACCTTTGTTAAGTGTAAAGTTGAATTACAATAAATAAATAGTACTGTTGCTGCTAAACGTGCTTGAAGGTCATGTTGACTTAAATCATGTGCCCATTCAACTCGACCCCAATGACCTAACTGAAAACAACAATAAATTTTATAATAAAAATGGAAAAAATTAAAACTTTGTGAGAAATAACAAAATACTTAATTTATTTCAATAAATAGACATGTTTCGAAAAAAAAACACTAAAAAATAACTAGAAAAATTATATTTATATTATTTCTAGAAATGAACTTATAGATAAGTTAATTCCCAAGAAATTTAAGGATTTACTTTGATTTTGTAAAAAGTTTTCTAGAAGTATTTTGTTCAGACCTATTCCTAACATATTTTAAAAAAATTTTTCTGAAGATGTATGTATTGAAATAAATTAAGTATTTTGTTATTTCTCACAAAAAGTTTTTACATTTTCCATTTTTATTATTTAATTCTTGAGAAATATGGAGAATTTCATCCCTTTTAACAATAAATTTATTTGTAGGTTATAAATATAACATAGGAAGAAAATTAAATTTATACCTGAAATTCTTCTTCAAGTCTTGATAATAAAACAGCTTTTTCAGGTGTTAAAAACCGTTCAATACAAGCTAAAGTTAAAATAATAGATTTAATTGTGTCTACTCCATAAACGAAGCCTTAAAAAAAATATTATTTTTATAAAATCATCTTTATAGGTTTATGTTTCGTACCAAAAATAGCATCTTGACTATAAGAAAGTAAATATTTACTAATTTTCTGTTTAGTTTCATCACTAATTTTGGGACCTTCTATAACAACAGATTTTTGTAAATCAACTTTAAATTTATTACAAAACCATTGTATAACAGGATCCCATTCTTTTTCTTGTAATTCGTATAAACGTTCTTGTTCTTTTGCTTGAAATAATATCGTATCTGTATCTAAATAATTAACTAAATATTGAACCATATCGAATTTGTTTAAATTATTAGGATTATCGATGGCCGTGTTGCATAAAGTTGTCTAAACGAAAACATAAAAAAAAATTACTTATATTATTGATTATTTTGAGTCATTTATACCAAATGCATTGATGTTTGAATGATTTTTTCTTTTTGAGCGTCCCATTCTGATGCAACAGCTAAAGCTAACGGCTCAGAATTAAGAATGAATAAATTTCCTTTAGGCGTTTTTAATTTCTTTTGGTCTAAAGTAATTTCATATTTTCCACCGCTTGTTAATATTCCTGTCGTTTTATAAAAACGTTTTTTAGCTTGAGCTATAAAAGAAAATAATTTAATTAATTTTATTTGAGGTTATGTATCACAACATGTCAGATAAACGTCAAAAAGTTGGGTTATAATTTAAAAATTTACCGTAATTTCTTAAATTAATCACTCCTTTAACATTAAAATAACTCCGATTGTGATGAAAACTCGTTAGTAATCGACTAACGGTTAAATTGATGGACATTATCTTCGAAATCGATTATAAATTAATTACGTAACCCCAAAGAAACCGGGTGTAAACTTTGTGTGGGATTGGTTTATTTGAAATTGAACCGGTTCAAATCGACCACTAAGAAACGTTAATTTTGACGTTGGCCTTGTGAATGATCCAGCGCACTGAGTTCAAGGATATTTTGGATGAACGAGAGCGAGTAATAGCACAGTAAGTAAACAATAATTTTAAGATTCTAAAAGCTAGTCAAACAGAAACGTTTCGACTTGATTCACGTGAAAGGTATTCGCGATTGATACATTAAACGTTTTAGTTAAATTGAGTGCGTTTTTTAGATGAGTTCCCTCATGATGTTACCTTCAAAAAGTGATAAAATCCAATTAATATCGAAAGAAAGAAAAGATTGTGCCTTTATTTGTGGAGAGGATAGAATAGGAGCACACAAATTGGTTTTATCGTACGCCAGCCCAGTTTTTGAGAAGATGTTTTTTGGAGAAATGAAAGCATCGGAAATTGTATTGTTGGATATTAATTTTAGTGATTTAAAACAAGTAATCGATTATATTTATACTGAGATTATTAAGATAAGTAGCATACAAAACGCTTGGGCTTTAATTTATGTTAGCCAGAAATATTTTTTAAAAGATTTACTCGATATATGCATTTGTTATGTTATTGATAATTTATCTGTGGACAATTTGTTATTGTGTTATGAGTACTCGCAATTGTATAATATAAAAATGTTAATGGAAAGTTGTTGGAAAAATATTCAAAAGTATTTTAAAGGTTTAATCCATGTTAATTATCATATGCAATTAAATACTTTGCATTCGATTTTATTAGACTCAAAACTTTTAGGAACTGATTCTGATTTAATTATTTTAATGTTTAAGTGGGCTATTGATGAATGTGAATTAAATGAAATTGAGCCGATTGAAGAAAATTTATTATTAACATTAAAAGAGAATAAATTAATTAATGATTTTTCAAGTTTTGATAAATTTGATTATAAATTATCAGAGACATTAAAACAGATTGATTCATATTCAAATTTAAACGATATAATTAATATTATTGTTAATTTAAACAATCAAATTGAGTCTCGATTTATTAAATATAATCGAAAAATTTTCCCTCAAACCTACCAATTTCGCTTACTTTACAAAATATCTCGCGGTCATTTCTTTTCAAACGCTATCCAAATTGCGAGCGATGTAACAACATCTCGAACAATTTATTTATTTGGTTTAGCAATTTCCTCGCTTCATCAACCGGCGGGGGTTGATAATTTAAGTTATGATAGTACTATTGATGTTCGTATCACCCATAATATGTTAACGTATTATAATTGCCGATTTAAACAGAATAATATTATTTATAACGACGTTCAAAGATTGGTTTTTCCCGTTGCTATTAAATTGGAGTCAAAAAAATCGTACACGATTATTGTAACATATTATAATGAGAATATTAACGCTAAAGGACAAGTTGTTTTAAATTATTGTTCAGATGCATTGGTTAATAAGCGAAATTCGACTGTGATAACGTTTAGTAATGAATTAGATGGTTCTATTTTACAAGGATTATCTTATTTAATCGCTTAGGATTAATTTGTATTGACAGTTCTCAATTTTAGTAGTAAATTCGAATTGAATCGGGGGAAAAATTTTTTTTTAATCTATTTGATTAAAGTGAATAAAGCAAAATTGATAAAATTGATGTAACAGATTGTACTTATAAATTAGATAGTTAGGGATTAACGCAATTTTTAGTTAATTTAAATGCAACACTCATAGTATTTTATTTTTTTTAAATTTTTGAAATAATTTATTATCTTACTATGATTTACAATGCTTTGTAAACTGCCATTGTGATACAAAATGGAATAAAAAATGTGATGGTCATTGGATTTGTATTTGTGATTATCTGCATGTAAACTCCAAGTCCCCAAAAGTCATCATACACCAAAGTTTTTTGCAAAAAATACCAAAATAAATTAATAATTCTTCAAAATTGTTCCATTGCAACCTCACAAAAGTAACAATAATAACACAGAGAAACAGTGATTCTGCGGCATGAGATATCTTAGTCAATTTTGGTTCATTTTGGTCCACTGAATATAAAAATAGTAATTTATTTGTTGAATTGACTCTAGTTTTTGAGATAAAGTATTAATTTATACAGAAAATTAAATTTTGAGAAAAGAGAATATTGTTGAAATCTATATTTTAAAATTATTTATCCATTCGACTTAAAACAAAAAATAAAACAAAATTAACTATAATAAACAAAAACATATCGATAACTTTTAAGAAAATCGTTTTCTGTGTGATTTTCTATTGTGTTTTTGATTAAGGCAATCTCTCTGTAAATTCCAGCAATAATCCGCCATCATATGGTGGTCCCACCGCCCTTTATATCTCTCTTCCATAATCTTGATATCTTGGTGAAACCGCTCCCCTTGTTCTTCGCTGTAGTCACCCAAATTATCTGGAAATTTGTCTAAATGGCTGTGCAAGTAATGCAGTTTCACGCTCATGTTAACTCCCAGTTTTTGGAATTTTTTAAGCATGTTGTCTACCAATTCATAATGTGTTTCAGCTTTGTGGTTTCCTAAAAAATTTTCGACAACCAATACGAAGCTTGACCATGCTTCCGATTCAACTTGATTCATATGGTTTTTAAAATCTTGGTTTTTAATAAGGGAGCGAATTTTGGGACCGTCAAAAATACCTGCTTTTAACTTCTCGATACTGAGACCAGGAAATGATTCACAAATATATTTGAAGCAGTCGCCGTTCTTATCTAAAGCTTTCACGAATTGTTTCATAAGTCCAAGTTTTATATGGAGGGGAGGCAGGATAACTTTTTCGCGACTTATTAATGGTTCTTCGATGATGTTTGCTTTTCCTACATCCATGTTAAGTCTCGATGGCCAGACTTTCCTGGTCCAGTGTTCATTTTTCGCTCGACTATCCCACAGACATAGAAAGCAAGGATATTTTGTGTATCCACTCTGCTGCCCCAATAAAAAGTTTACCATTTTTAAATCTACACACACTTGCCATTGATGTTGATCGTATGAAATTTTTTCTAAAACAAGCTTGATGTTTTTATATTCTTCCTTAAGTATAGTGGAATGACCTATTGGGATTGATGCTAACACGTTTCTGTTATGCAGTAACACACATTTCAAACTTCTTTTAGAACTATCTATGAATAGTCGCCAGTCTTGTGGTTGATATTCTGGAGGGCCCATTAAATTTAAAAGCCCAGAAATGTCATTACAATATACGATATCATTCAAATTTGTAAAATAAGGAAGAATATCGCGCTCTCTAGTTCGATAACTTGTTATTGACACGCCAGGATGAAGGCAATGTTTTTCTTTCAGTCTTGACGCAAGAAGCTCAGCTGATTTCTTCGATAAATTTAAATCTCGAATCAAGTCGTTTAGCTCACTCTGAGAAAACCCTTTTCGTGTAGGACTACTTTCTTCGAATTCACTTTCACTGCTGTGTTCACTGCTACTGCTAACGTCTAACATTTCAACATCATCATAACAATCGCCGGGTAAAGAAGTAAATTCCGGTGTTGGTAAATCTTTACTATGCAACGTTGGTGGCTTAGCTGATTGTTGTACATCTGGGTAAATCCATGAACGCTTTTTATACCGATTCATACCCTTTACATTTACAGCGCAAAAATAGCAGTCATCAAAGTGGTTTCTTGGCTCTCTCCAAGTCATCGGTATTCCAAATGGCAGCCCTTTTCGACCTCCTTGTGTCCAGTATCTGAGTGACTCCACACAAGTTTTACAAACTTTATGCGGAACCCAACATTTATCTTGCTGTCCAAGGTGTTTTCCAAAATATGCCTGATAGGCTTGTTTCACGAAATCGTTTATATTCCTTCGTTGCTTTTCCTGACAGTATTTACCACATATATAGCAGAAATGGTCGGGATTATTAACACAGGACTTGCGTGATGATCCACTCATACTTTTTTATTTTCAACAACTACGTCAAGATGACAATAAAAATGACACAAGAATGAGTAAACTACACCGAATAGTGATCAAAAAAGACAATGTTAAAATTTTAAGGCTATTTGATATTTCGAGGGTTTTGTTATTTTAATAAAAATACCAGTTCCACAATTTATACAATGAAAACAAGTTGACGAGGAAAAGAGCAATAAATAAAAAACGCGTATGCGATCCCAGATGTGTAACACTCTGCTATACCACCAATGTTGCTTAGTAAAGATTTACCAATATAGGTGTTTACTTGTAATTTTATGAAATGTTAGATAGTATTAAAAACGAAAAAAATAGTGAAAGTGAATGTGAAGGCTGTAGTCCTATACGTCAATGGCCATCTTAGGGTGAGCTTGATATTATATTTTTCCCAATCAGACAACTAATTGTCAATTTATGGTAAATTATGTAAAGCTGTCTTTTCATTTTATATAGATCGGTTTATCACGAAAACTAGAGTCAATTCAAACAATCTAATTTATAGCACAAGAACTTCATAATGATGTGCATTTAAATTGGCTCCATAAAATTAGGCCGCAGAAAAAAAATATTGTTTTGTTCCCCTGTGTAATAAGCGTTTTATTATAAGGATAATTTCGCATGGAAATAGCACACTCCTCATGGATTAATTATGTTTACTCATACATGTTTAATCGACATTTCGGGCTATTATGAGCCCATCATCAAGATTTTAATATAAATCTAAAAGAACAATTACAATTTTAAGCAAAAAAAAAACGACGAAACATTTAGAAATAATACATTTAAAAATTTTTTTAATATTCTACACTTATCAGAATATACAAAAAAATATAAATTTGTATAAATTCAAAAAAACGTACCATTATTGAAAAAACAGTGGGAGAGTTGATAATTGGCATCTATAATTATTTTAGTTATTAATAGTCTAATCTAGTATCATGTGGTTCTCAACTGCTCACTTGCGGACTAAAATGGCTAAAATTTTACGACAAACCTGTTTTATTATTGGTATGAATTTATTTTTAAGAATCCAAAATAAATTTAAATTTAATTTTCAATACTAATTATGCTGCATTATTTGTTTCAATTCAATCTAAATATTAACCTTATCAACTATTCCTGCGTATATTTTACCTATATTGCCTGTGTCTGATTTGAAGTTGACCATGTTATTAATATTTTTAGTAATGTGAATAGCTTCTAAGGTTTTCCTATTGAAACTATTCTTACTCGTTGTGATAACTTTAGGATTTTCAAAATCAAAGTTATTTTGATTTTTCAAAGCATGTTGTCACACATTGTTTCTATGTTGATTTATGCGCTTGTGAAGATGCTGCTTAGACTCCCCTATACAGAGTGTCCCGTTAAGGGTACGGAGCGGCTGTATCTCAACAACGGTAAGGTCTAGAGGTTTGGGAAAAAAATCCTTATAGGCAAAGTGGGCAAGAGAAATAGCTGGAAATTATTTTGAAGTTCGTAATTTGACCGCTAGGGGGCGTAACTGCCATAGAGAAACATAAAATTCCCGCTATCTCAGAAAGTTAGACGATGAGCTATAACTTTGACAACATCATTTAGTAGCTTGGATAATACCGCATCGCTTTTGTTTTGCAATATTTTTCATATCTGTCATAATAAGGGAGGGGGAGGCCAATGCGTTTTCAAATGTTTACATTTTAATATCTCCTGGACCATTCAACCGATTTGAATATTTTTGGTCTTGTTTGAAAGAGCATTTCATGCTCTTTTAAAAGATATTTTCAGTAAGACCGCTTGGTTTAAAACAAATAAGCTAGAGGGCGTTATCTGCAGCGATTACCTATTTTTGTGATTTTTGAAAAAAAGTTAAATGGAACGGTACTATTTACTTCACAGATCCTTAGTCACCATAAAATTTGCTAAATATTAGTGAAAACCGCATCTCGATATCGCCATCCGTTCTCGAATTATAGAAGAAAATGTTAAAAATTCGGGTTTCTTCAATCAGATCTAATCACCTTATAGAGAAAAACAAAGCACATAGCCATGGTAACTATGGTAACTAGTTGAAAACATTGCGCTTTGACAACTGTCAAAACTTAATTCAAATAGTAATTGTCTGTTACATTTATTTTGTTTTACAATCATGTCTTTTACTAACGTAGCAGCGTATGATATGTTACGTATTTATTTTCAATGTTTGGAAAATGCTGTAATTGCATCGCGCGAATATGCAATGCAGTTTCCACAAAGAAGACATTTTTCTCGAGACGTGTTTTCAAGATTGGCTAGGCGATTACGGGAAACTGGTAATGTGCAACCTATTCAGGCACCTATAAGAACTCGCAAAACATGCATCGAGGAAAATATTATTAATGTTTTGGCCTACGTACAATTCCGACGACCTGGGAATCCCGAAAACAACTGTGCATAAGATTCTTCAAGAGAATAATATGCATCCCTACCATATTATTTTACATCAGGCCTTAAGAGAAGCCGATTATGATAACAGACTTAATTATTGTCATTGGCTGTTAAGTATGATTGAATTTTTTAACAGAAATACTATGGACGGATCTTTCAATAGCGCAGGTGGTGTAAATTTGCATAACATGCATTATTGGTCGGAGCAAAATCCACATTGGATGCGGCAGATAGAGCATCAAAATCGCTAGAGTTTGAATGTATGGTGCGGAATTGTGGAAGGAAAACTTATACGCAAAACTTAACGTAGAACGATTTTTGGAATTTTTGAACGTTTTCCTTCCACCCCTTTTAGAAAACGTCTCCTTGGAAACAAGAAGGAACATGTGGTTTCAGCTTGATGGTTGTCCGGCGCACTATGACCGAAACGTACGTCAGCATTTAGATGAACTGTATCCGAATCGTGTTATTGGAAGGGGCAGTCTATCTCCTTGGCCGGCGCGTTCCCTGGATCTAACTTGTTTGGATTTTTATCTATGGGGTAGATTAAAAGACCTAGTTTTTCAAGAAGAACCAACAACCAAGGAAAATATGATTGAAGCTAGATAGAAACTTGTCCAGGGCTGAAATACAAGCAGCAGTTTTTTCCACCGAAACTAAAGCAAATAAATGCATCGAGAATGATGGAAAACATTTTTGAGCAGAATTCAAAGTGTTTTGGTTTATTTTGTTTTATTGTTATAGTTGATGTTTCGTTGGTCCGTTGACCTTTAAACATGCTTCAAAAATGGTCTTGAACCAGTCCTAAGCCTGGATAAAGTGTGAAGGAAGGCTCTACGTAATACAGGGGACACCTGTATATGATTTATTACAATTCGTGCAATCGATTCTGTATACCGTCTTTATTTTATCTTTCCTATTGGTGAGCAAGTTTTCCAGTTTATTGTGGTTGTAAGGAGCGAATTTCAATTCTGTACTTTATTGGTTATACCAGGTATGTGCTTGATTTTGTTGAAGTTGATTTTGTTAGGTGTGCTTCTATTATTAATTATTAGTTATTATTGAGTTTTCATTATTACTATGTTTACTGATATAACTGGTCAACAAGGATTGTGTTATTATTATTATTAGGATTGTTTTATTTATGGCATACGAAAATATGATAAGATATCTCATAAGTTAGTTGACGCTGGATGGTTGTCGATGGGGAACAGAAGAGTGCTTCAGACATTGGTGGTTTATCATAAACTAATGTTGAGTAAGACTCCAAGTTATTTATATAGGAAGATTAATTTTAGAAGTAACGTTCATAATCGATTGACTAGGTTTATTTCCTTTATTTCTCCACCTGTCCATCGCACGGGTTTGTTTGAGAGATCTTTCTCATACCATGTTTACAAATCCTATAATCTTATTTCGATGGCTGATTGGAGGTTAAGTGTATCGACGTTCAGGTCTCGGTTATTTGAAAGATTATTCAGATGTCAGTGTGCTTCTCTGTTGCAAGGGGTCCCGATATCGAGTTGCGTTGCGCATGTCACGGAATCGAGTTTAGTTAATTAGTTTATTATTTACAACTAATTTAAATTTTTTTTTTTGTGTTTTGTGTTTGTTACGTCTTCAATTATTAATGTTTAATACCTCTTTTTGTTATCGAGGTGAATTGCTTGCCGCACTATGCTATAATAGCTCTCTCTTGTTTAGATAGTTTTATTTTGTATCTTTTTTTTTCTTTCGAATCATTTATTGTTTTTATTTTTGGTTATATTATCTTGCTATATTATATTGTTTTATTTCTGTAATTGCTGTGTGGTTTGGCAATAAAGTCTATTATTATTATTATTATTATATCTCTGGTTCAGAGGTGGTGATTTTGCCTTTGTTATGGTGTTACTTGTATTTACAGAATGATCAACATTCTGAATACAAAGTTTTGTATTTATACTGTATCACATTTTATTGATTAAGATTCTGGGATAAGCATTTTCCAAAAGAATTTCATATGTCACTGTTTTTATTTCTTTTCTGAATGGTTTATCAGTCAATGCAATAGCTCTATGTATTAAATTATTCATTGTGTTTAGGATCTAAGTCTTAGGGTGGTTACTATAGTAATGTAAGGTTCTATTGCTAGAAGAGGTCTTCTTATACCAGGTTGTGTAAACTTTGTTATTGTTATGGTCTAGTATTATTTTCAAATCTAAATACGGTATTTGTTCTTCTTTTGTCAATTCTACTGTAAATTTTTTGTTTTTTCTTCGTGATGATCAGCAAATCGTCTATATATTTAGCTAATAGAACTGGTTTTTTGTTTGTTTTTCCAAGCTGAGTGGTTAGTACTCTTAAATTCAACAAATTAAATTCAACGTATTAAACAAATACGTTTAAATAAAATAATTATAACTACGATAAATAAATTAACTCTTATATTCGATTCTATTTTAGAAATTTTGGAAAAACCGTTAGTGTACGATGACTTTTGGGACTGTCTGTATATTGTGACATATTTCAAATAAAGAATGTGATTAGAAAATCTTCAATAGATAAAAAGGAAATATCCATGAAGCAAGATTATATCGTTCTCAATAAAATTTTTTACAATTCAGGTTTTACCCAAAGAAAGATTTTTCTTTTAATTACAAGAATTAACACACTTCGCGCATTAACCATTGCGTCATATTCTTGTTTACTTGTGAAATACGTTTTATTTTCTTGGTAATTATTATGCATCTTAAAAGATTTACTGCGCGTGGAATAAGTAATTTATAAGTTTGTTCACGGTTACTTTTTGTAACAATAAAACTTAAGATTAAAATTAAATGCGATAAAATTTCATAAAAATAATATATTTAAATACATACAAATTAAATTACACCTTATTAAGTACAAATTACAAGTTCACGATCATTGTTAATCCTAAACTAATATGTGGAGGATGATTTAAAATTAAAAAAAGCGAAATATTCACATGCTTGAAAAAAGGAAAAAATTAAAAAAAGGAATGTGCAAATGTGATTTGGGTGCTTTTAATTTCGATTTTTAAACGATCGGTGAATTTGATGGGTAATTCGCAAAAAAAAATTAATTTCAATCACGAATTAATCATTAAATTTTGATCTAAAAGGTACTTCTTTTCCATCTTCTGTTTCTGTTAATTTAAAGACGGATTCCCGGATTACGGGAGGCAACGAAGTTCAATAACTCTTCGCTATCTTCGCATACGAAAGGTTTTACATGGTGACAAGCGACATCATGCCATTTAACACCATCGTTGTAGAAATTATTAAGAATTGATAAACAGGATTCATCGTTACCCTATAAAAAATTCAAATTAATAAAAGTTAATTCAAAAAAGAAATTTTAATAATTACTTGGGCAGCTTCTCTATTATCTGGTTGAGCTTGTCCAAATCCTCCGGTATGACTCCAATCGCCAGTATTTCTTTGAGTTGTTGGTCCGATTTTTGCACCAGATCCAGACCAGAACCAACCGTTAATATTTGGTGGTTGTAAATCGGGTCTGTCACAACCGGCAAAGTTACATTTCCTTCCAGATGTCCAAATATAACGGACGTTTCCTCTGGCTAAGCGCTGTTTAACAAATTCGTTTTCTTGAGGCGTTTCTAACGAAACAGCGTCCATGCAATGTCTTCTGCAAATATTTCTTGCATCTAACCAATCAACTTCTAAATTTCTTGTTGGCGAGTGTTCCCAACTGAAGAAATACGAATGGGTCACTCCTCTCGCGTCTCTGTAGGTTGCATGACGTACCCCTTAAAAAGTTTTGAAAAAAATTTGTGTATAATAAGAGATTAACCTCAATCTTCAATAAAAAAAGGTGAAAAAACCTTGCAAAAGCTTTAAAAACAATGCGTTTTGCTAACAGTTATTGCAACAGGATTCCCGTTATGGCGGTATTTCGCAAGAAGAAGAGATAAAGTCGGATGGATGCGTTTGCCATTGTCCACACTTGCGAGTTAAAAATGAAAGTAGCCTAAGGAGTCGATTGCCACGACCACAGCCGACCCATTAGTTACCACTTCTTGCAACCAGGCGCACATTTAATGTTTCTTCTTCGACTTCTTCTCGAGCGGTCGACGAACTCTCGAGAAGTTTTTATGAGATGGTTTTCCACAAATGGAGTTATTAACACCTTTTTATACTTATTTAATGTGTAAATAGATCTTTTGTTGTAGAAAAAAATTAAAAAAACCCAGCGCTTCCACCAATTTTTTTTTACTTACTGTTTGCACAACTTCTTGGATCTGGTAAGGCTAATCTTCTTTGGGCTAAAACCATAGCAGCTCCTATTACAAGGAGCAAAATTTGACGAATCATCTCTGTAACAAAAATAAGAAAAGTTTTACAAAAATATTCATTTTATGTACACTAAAATATATAATATATACAGGTGTCCCGTTAAGCGTACGGAGCGGCTGTATCTCTAGAACGGTAAGGCCAAGAGGTTTGGGGAAAAAATCCTTATAAGCAAAGTGACCAAGAGAAATAGCTGGAAATTATTTTGAAGTTCGTAATTCGACCGCTAGGGGGCGTAACTGCCATTGAGAAACATAAAGTTGCCGCTATCTCAGAAACTTAGACGATGAGCTATAACTTTGACAACATCATTTAATAGCTTGGATAATACCGCATCGCTTTTGTTTTGCGATATTTCTCATATCTGTCATAATAAGGGAGGGGGAGGCCAATGCGTTTTCATATGTTTACATTTTAATATCTCCTAGACCATTCAACCGATTTGAATGTTTTCGGTGTTGTTTGAAAGAGCATTTTATGCTCTTTTTAAAGATATTTTCAGTAAGACCGTCTGCTTTAAAACAAATGAGCTAGAGGACGTTATCTGCAGCGATTACATATTTTTGTGATTTTTGAAGAAAAGTTAAATGGAACGATACTATTTACTTCACAGACCCTTAGTCACCTTAAAATTTGCTAAATTTTAGTGAAAACCGCATCTCGATATCGCCACCCGTTCTCGAGTTATAGAAGAAAATGTTAAAAACTCGAGTGCCATCAATCGGATCCAGTTACCTCATCGAGAAAAACAAATCACATAACCATGGTAACTGTAAACATGTCATTTACTAACGCAGAAGCGTATGATAGAGCGTATGATGATTTATTTTCAATGTTTCGAATACGATGCAACTGCATGGCAAAAATGTGCAATGCAATTACGACAAAGAAAGACATTTTTCTCTAGAAGTGTTTTTAAGATTGACTTAGCGATTACGGAAAACTGGCAACGTGTAGCCCATTCAGACATCTCTATGAATTCGTAAATCATATTGGTGCGCAATGTGATCCCACATAATCTGGGAACTCCGAAAACAATTGTCCACAAGAGTTCTCAAGAGAATAATATCTCCACCACGTTGTTTTACATCAGGCCTTAACAGATACCGATTATGATAACAGACTGAACTATTACCATTGACTTTTAAATATGATTTGGGCAAATCCAAACCTTTTATCACAAATGCTATGGATGCATGAAGCATCTGTCCACAAGCTGATGTAAACTTGCATAATATGCATTCTTGGTTCGAGCAAAACCCACATTGCTTTCACCCCTTTATCTATTGGGTAGACTAAACGACCTGACTTTTCAAGAAAAACCAATAACCAGGGAAAATATGACAAAACACTAAATACCAGTAAAAACGTGTCCAGGGCCGAGACTTAAGCAGCGCTTTTTTTTCGTCGAAACTAGATTAAATAAATGCATCGAGGTTTATGGAAGGCATTTCGCACATTAGTGAGTTATTTTTGCCAAAAATTTAAGTTATTCTAAGTGTTTTGGTTTATTTTGTTTTATTATCATTGTTGATGTTTCATTGATCCGTTGGCTTTTCAACACGCCTCAAAAGTAGTTTTGAAGCAGTTCTAAGCTTGGATAAAGTGTGAAGGAAGGTTCTAGATAATAAAATTTTTGTTCTCTCTTATTTGTTTCCTAAGGTAACTTGATCCGATTAAGATATACGAATTTTTAACATTTTCTTTTATAATTCGAGAATGGATGGAGATATCGAGATGCGGTTTTCACTAATATTTAGCAAATTTTATGGTGATTAACGGTCTGTGAAGTAAATAGTACCGTTCCATTTAACTTTTTTTCAAAAATCACAAAAATATGTAACCGCTGCAGATAACGCCCTCTAGCTTATTTGTTTTAAACCAAGCGGTCTTACTGAAAATATCTTTTAAAAGAGCATGAAATGCTCTTTCAAACAAGACCAAAAATATTCAAATCGGTTGAATGGTCCAGGAGATATTAAAATGTAAACATTTGAAAACGCATTGGCCTCCCCCTCCCTTATTATGACAGATATGAGAAATATCGCAAAACAAAAGCGATGCGGTATTATCCAAGCTACTAAATGATGTTGTCAAAGTTATAGCTCATCGTCTAACTTTCTGAGATAGCGGGAATTTTATGTTTCTCTATGGCAGTTACGCCCCCTAGCGGTCGAATTACGAACTTCAAAATAATTTCCAGCTATTTCTCTTGCCCACTTTGCTTATAAGGATTTTTTTCCCAAACCTCTAGGCCTTACCGTTGTTGAGATACAGCCGCTCCGTACGCTTAACGGGACACCCTGTATATAATTTTTTTAATTCTTCTCTGAAAGTAATTCTACACTGATTTTAAAAGATATCATAAGAACTAAGCATTTTAAAATGTTCTTTATTCCTATAAATTGTTCATGATTTTTTTTGTTTATTAACTAACTTGTAAAAACTTTCAAAAAATTTAAACCAAAAAAAATCTTGGTGGGTTTCTCTATTTTACGAACTGTTAAACTATAAATAAGTTAAAAGAGAAACTTTTTAAGTAAACATTTTTCTCTAAAAACAATCCGTCTCTTTCTTAGATTTTCTAGGTAATTTATTTTAACAAGTTTAGAATTTTTTCGAGGTCACCGACACCATTAAAACACAAAAAAAAGCATTGAAACCAATTTGTTGAATCATCTCATTTCTTTAAAATGAATCGGAACACACCTCGAAGGACGTCATCGTTCCGCCCATTCAGTTTCGAGGTCGAGAACCCCGAAGAGACGAAGACTTGGAGAAGCCGATGTAGAAGAAGAAGTGGTAGGTTGAACAAGATATAATCACCGTTAACCGCTTTTTGAAGTCGAACGAAGAGTGGACCTTACAATGACCGCTCTTAAGATACTTTATAATTCGTTTATGATCATTTTTTTGGTCAACTCAAAAACACAGTTTATTTTAATAAGGATATTGACATTGACTTTGGTTTAATTTAGTCCTTGGTGAAAGTATCTCAAAAACGAATTGAGATTTTGTAATTCCATAATGGGTATTTTAATGCAAATTTAATCTAGTTTTAGCGTGCCATAAATAATTTCTTAGATTTCATAAATCTAGTTATTATTGATAATGAAGTAAGTTATTAAAATCTGTGATTTCTTTTCGAGTCAAATTATTTCTTAGAATTTAACCCAAATTTTTTCTTGTTGAAGATAATTTTTGGTTCACGATCTCTGATCTATGTGCATTGGCACGTGATCGACTTCGTCACCGGCACGTCTGTCCTGGATGGACGACGATGTTTCCTGGGTCCGGCCGGACTTGGAATCCGGGTCACAGACCGACCTGACCTGGCTTTCTTCGCCTGAACAAACCGGAGGTGTCCGCAATCGGACTTCTTATTCGAAAGACGCAGGTGCTAAACATCATTCGATTTACGTCAATATCACGTTTAAATTTACCACCATTTGCTTCAGAATTAAATAATTTGATTATCTTTAAAACAATAAGCGTTGAGAGTAAAAGAAAACGAAAACGGGGAAATTAAATTTCCCACAAAGAATAAATTAGTTATTCTTTATGCGATCTGATGAGTTTCACTTTCCATTTTAAATGGCACGACATTAAAATTACCTACTTTTTAAAGTTAGGTTCAAATAAGAAATTGATGAACCTAAACATATCGTTAAATTGTGAAAGGAGACTGGAAAATTTTTCAATTCGATACTCATCCGCACTTTAACAATCACACCAATTACGTTTGAACCGAGTTGAAAATACCGATTCCCACGCGGATAATTCCCAGGCATAAAAGACTCCGAGTTTCTGTGTGATGGTGATGTAATCGAATGATGTACCGACGTTGTTTAGGATTTACCATCAGGAAGACGAAGCAAAACACTTTTAAGTTAATTGTTTTGAGTTGTTACAGCAATCTTGGTATTTTCGAGATAATCTTGAAGAATTCCTATTTTAGTTTTTAAGTACGCTGAGATTAGGTGAAAGTTGTAATAAAAAATTTTGATTATCACATTTCACAATTATTTTTGATTAAGAACATAATGGGTGTTAAATTAACTCAAAGTTATTAGAAATTATTTTTTCACTTTTAGTAAAGTAATCTTTAAAAATAATCTAATCGGCAAATAATTATGGTTTTGTGAAATTGATTGACATTGATAGAGCATTTTCTATTCAATCTTAACATGACACCAAGCTTTATAAAATCGGGCCAAAGTTTTTTGCAAAATAAATCTTATTTATTACTTATAATTCAGAATCACCCTGTATTTATATAGATAACCACTAAACTTTCAAGGTTGTAGTTTCTATGAAAATATTCCAACTTGTTACAACGTGATGGTACCCTCATTGAGACATAAAAAAAAGTTTTATTAAAAGTTATCCAGTGATTGGAATGTTGGATTCAATATGCAGTTTGCTTTATGACCACAATCAATCCATAAGTCTTCAATCCCTCCAATAAAAAGAGCTTTTACAATAAAGAGTAAAAGTAAACTAACAACTCCGTCAATCACCCGATGGTGCAATAGAACGTTTTAAATTGAACGTTAACATTCCCATAAGCATTTATAAAACGAAACGACTCGATTTTCTCCTTTTACCGTCTTCGGATTCGAAACGAAGATATAAATCTTTATAAATCGTCTCTCGTTTCCACTCGTTGTTATAACAAAAAAAAAAACGTGTAAGCAACATTCACCGTTTTTGTATTCGCTTTTTCTTTAAAGTAAGCAAAAAAAGAAATTACAGCGTGCAGTGTGAATTATCTTCAGATACATAATTGGATAGCATGTGGGGGAGATATACAAGTTGAATAGAATCGTTTCCCATAACGCAGTGAAACCGCAAGTGCACCTAACCTAACTAGCAACTTTCTTCGTCTGCGTGTAGAGAGCTGTTTTTCCTTTCAGCACTTGAATGTACATTTGACTTTTGACCGGTTGTGGGGATCGATGCGTTTTTCGAGAGGTCATCGAGCTTTTGCTTCAGCAACGACAGCGCGCTTTATAGAAAGTTTGCGGGAAATCACGTTTAACAATTTGAAATGCCGTAAATACGTGACTATTTAAATTAAATGTTAATATAAGTAAAATTGTAGAAGAATTTAAGTTTTTAATACGAAGAAAGTTGTATTTACAATTATTTATAAAACATTAAGAAAATGTAATTAATGCTGAAGACAAGAAGGTTGGCTGATGAAGAAAGCTTTTTTAAAAAAAAATCAATTTATGCTATTTATTATAACAATTAATTATAATTTCGTTGGAGATGTGATTATTGCTATGTTATGCTACTGGGGAGTGAGGATATATTCTTTTTAATGTTTCATCTAAACTATTCGACACCATTAATCATTAAAATTCTTGATTTTTGGTTTTGGATCTTCCTTTTATGCGGCTTCTCTGCTTATATGTGAAACTTATCTTATTCAAATATCGCAGTTCTAAGGAATAACATATGAAATGTTGTTAATATGATATAAAATCAAAGTGTGCAAAACCATGTTTATATATTCTATTAAATAAGTAAAGGAAAGCACTTCGTAATCTAGTAGAGCATGATGAAATAGATCACGTTTTTGGCAAGAAAATCAATGTGCAGATATATATACTAAAAGCATCTTAAAGTATCAAGAGAAGTCTAAAAGGAAGTGTTTACGACTAAAATTAACGTTTTAAAGGCAATCTTTTTAAACAGAATGGTTTTAGAAAAAGATGTCTAATTTCAACTTTTATCTGCTATGATACATGTGAAGACAATAATCATTTAATATTATTGAACTATTGTTTAAACTTAACCTGATGAGGAGCTAATAGAGGTTGATATAATAATATAGCAAAAATAAGCAGATAGTCATTGACCAAAAATACTTTCTTTAAGAAATGACTAATATTAAGTTTAGTATGACTTAGTTTTTGACAAAAATAGATTAATTGAAAAAATTAATCATAAATTTTAATTAAAAGGTCATACGTATATGGAGATAGAAAGCGAATAATGCTTTGAAGAATTAAGTGTGAATATGGAGGTATACTTTAAATACTGCCACAATGGATTATAATGACATGACATTTAGTGAAAATAAAAGTTATTCAATACATCTTACGCATAACTCACTGTTAGTTTCTGGAAATGTATTTAGACTAGTGCCTTACATTAAAAAAAATGTATGATGATGTTAGTAGACAAGCTTTTGTTGTTTTCTTCTTGGGGTAGCTCAAATTTGTCTCTGTGCCACCCCATACATTGCCAACAGTATACTTCACACTTGTTCAATCTTATATTACTTATCAAGATTATTTAATTGGAATTACTTTAGTGTGTTGCAAAAAAAAACAATAAAAACAATGTTTACACATTGCTGATAAAACTTGGATATTTGATTCTGCAAAGTTTATATATTCTAGAATGCATTAAATATATTAAACATTAAGCAATATGGATTTACAAAAGTGAAGTAATTAACCAACCTTCATGACTACACCTGAAAACCTAACCAGAAACTGATTATGAAAACAACATTCATTCAAATTTCAAAAATGATTTATCTTTACTTAGCTTGCTAATATGAAAAAGAATCGACATATTTTAGGTAAAGTGCTATTTCTAGTACACGAATTAAGCCTAAAACTTATTATAACTAGCTATGTAAGTATTTTGAGTTTAGCCAACCTGAAAAAAATATAATTTTATAAATATTATAAACAACTTATTATAATATCGGCCATCAAAGTTGACACACTGCATTTAGTAGCAAATTAATTTTTGTATTAATCTTAACAATACTAGATTTGAATTCTTCTCAGCGAAACTATGCAACAATAATTCATCTTAATAGATAATTAATACATTTCTTAAGATTTCACCCCTCAAAAGAATAAAATCTGATGAAATTAATACATTTATTTGATGCACTTTTTTTAAGAATATAATTCTTTTAAGAGAGAATTTTTCTCATTGCATAAAAGTTCTTAAATAATTTTTGTTACTTCAAATCTAAAATCTAATAAAATATCTTAAATTTTTTGATAATCAAATAAATAATTATTTTTTTTAAAATAACTTACCTGTTAGAAAATTTTTATGAAACCAAGTCGCAAGGAATGTAGTCACAGTTGGAACTACCGCAGTCCGACGCGTCCTCTGTATATAGCCGGCCTACATCCCCACATCTTAACCTAGATAGTGGGCCCCCGAGGAGGGAAGCCCCGCCGCTCTTAAGCCCCCCTGAGTAGGCTGGGGTCATCCCTATCACTTCACAAACTCCTCTCCCAACTAATACTGTCACTATCGAAACGTTTGCGAATATTAATTACTTTTTTTGAACATTTATTTCTTAGACCACCTAGAAATAAAAGATTTATCACATATAATAAATTTAAATTCACATTTTTGTTTAACATGATTGATTTTGTTCAGATTTAGTGTTAATTATGCTTTAAAGGGAAAGTGTTAATTAGATTTTAATGAAATTAATCTGAGAAGATGGGAATTTTATTGTTTAAAGAGAAAAATAAGTTTGCTTTTAAATGATCATCTTCTAAGTTGTACGTTCCGGGGTCATCGTTCTAGTTCTTTAAATTTTATGTTTACATTTTTCCTTTTTGGAAAGTTATTTGCACCTTTTTCTTCTTCCCTCCAAAACGAAAAAATAAATATTTTCAATACCAAAAACAAAATTTAAACCTTTTTTTAATCGATTAATATTCTATGCAAATCACGAACAGAAAGCTATGCTATGTATTTACAAATTTAGGATATGTTCATGAAGAGAAATTTTTTTTTGTTATTTAAATTTCTAAATCCAAAAATAGTAACAAATTATAATTTTTTGGGTTGCAAAAATTATTTCAATTATTTTATTTTATTAAGTAAATAAATTAGATTTGAGTAGGATTATAACCTTAAAAAGATCTGTCAAAGTGATAGATGATAACTTCAGATTAACCCTTTGTGTCCCAAAAAGTCAAAAATTTTGAAAGTTTGTGAAAAAAATATTGATATAAAACTTACATTTTCGTATATCCTAAAAGTGTTAAAAAAGATGCTACATTAAAAATTCCTGGAAGCCGTATTTATTCAAATTAAGGAATGAGACTTATTCTAAATTAAAGCTCAAAGCTTTCTCTTTAAAATGATGTATAATAATTGTTGGGTTGGATTGGAAAAATATTGAGAAAAAAAATGTTGAAACAAAACTTACATTTTCGTATAACCTAAAAGTGTCAAAAAAGATGCTAATTTAAAAATTCCTGGAAGCCGTATTTATTGAAATTAAGGAATGAGACTTATTCTAAATTAAAGCTCAAAGCTTTCTCTTTAAAATGATGTATAATAATTGTTGGGTTGGATTGGAAAAATATTGAGAAAAAAAATGTTGAAACAAAACTTACATTTTCGTATAACCTAAAAGTGTCAAAAAAGATGCTAATTTAAAAATTCCTGGAAGCCGTATTTATTGAAATTAAGGAATGAGACTTATTCTAAATTAAAGCTCAAAGCTTTCTCTTTAAAATGATGTATAATAATTGTTGGGTTGGATTGGAAAAATATTGAGAAAAAAAATGTTGAAACAAAACTTACATTTTCGTATAACCTAAAAGTGTCAAAAAAGATGCTAATTTAAAAATTCCTGGAAGCCGTATTTATTGAAATTAAGGAATGAGACTTATTCTAAATTAAAGCTCAAAGCTTTCTCTTTAAAATGATGTATAATAATTGTTGGGTTGGATTGGAAAAATATTGAGAAAAAAAATGTTGAAACAAAACTTACATTTTCGTATAACCTAAAAGTGTCAAAAAAGATGCTAATTTAAAAATTCCTGGAAGCCGTATTTATTGAAATTAAGGAATGAGACTTATTCTAAATTAAAGCTCAAAGCTTTCTCTTTAAAATGATGTATAATAATTGTTGGGTTGGATTGGAAAAATATTGAGAAAAAAAAGGTTGCAATAAAACTTATATTTTCGTATAAACTTAGTAGAAAGTACCGATAGTTCTAAATGCGCCGAATAGATGACTACAGTTTAAAATGAGTGTTTAAAACTACCGGTACTTTAAAGTACCACCGGGATACAAAGGGTTAAACACGATTTTTATTTTTAAATAATTAATTTTATATATTATATTTTAGATAAATCTTTTTCATTCCACACCATTAAATATCATCAATTTGATTTAAAATTTAAATTATCAAAATAAAACAAACTTCACTTTGCTTTGTAAATTAAATCAATTTTTATTTTGACGTTTAAAACGTCAAAGTGAATTTAACGTATGAAGAGGTTATTAATTTATTTAAATTAATTTCAACTTGAATACAAGATCTCATCTACTATTCTCAATTATGATTTAAACTGTGCCACATCTGGATATAAGCTAAAACTTTCACATTTCGCGATATTAACCATTCTCATTATGAATTACTAACTATTTAGAAATCAGGGTGGAAACTACCAAGTTATAATTTATAAAAATAAACGATGATCTTATTCGGAAAATTATTAAATAAAAAGAGGTAGTAATAAAAAATAGTTGAGATGCATTTTAAATTATGTAATTTAAAAGTTGTTTTAGAATGAAAAAAACCTTGATCATCCCGACCTGGCATTGACACTAAAGTCTTAAAACGACTTAAGAGGTACACGGTGATGAAAAAAAAAATCACGTGTATTCATACAATCGAAGTGATGAAGTAACTGGTTTAGGTCACGTTCTTTTTTTTAACCATCATTCGATTGCTTCAGTTAATTATTACAAGATTGATGAGCTGAAATGTAACACTCTTATTTTTTTTTCTCTTTGTAGTTCAAAAGAAATGAAGAGTAAAGTGGTGAAATACCAATTTAGATTAAGATCTAATATATGAAACAACTAGTGAATGCATTTAGAATGTTAATTAAGATTTCTAAAGGAATTTATGATTTGAAGATGAGTTTATGAAACCTCAACAACACTATCATTGTCTTAGAAGTACTTAACTTAATAAAAAACATTATATAATTAAATTTCGTCTAACAATTAACAACAATAAAATTTTGAAGGTTAAATTGGCAGATGTTAACCTTCAAACTTCAGATTGATTTATTTATTTTTATAAATGTTAATTTTATGTTAATGTTGATTGTTTTTAAGGTATTGTACAAGTTTTTGTTTAATTGACTTAATTTTATTTTGTTTTAAATGAAATAAATGTAATTCGTTAAAATGATATGAGTTAACTTCACTTCATTTCTGAGTTCATGTTGGTTACATTGAATTAAAATTTTAAATTAAATTATTATATAAAATGTATTTAATTTTTGTAAACCTTTAATTTCGTTTTATTTCATATAATTTTAACCAAATTTGTATCATTTTAAAGTATTAAACATACAAAGATAACTTTATATTAAACAAGTTATTTTGACGTTTAAAATGTCACAGACGATTTTCTTCAAATTATTAATTTTGATTATTCTAGTTATTTATAATTGGGATACGACTAAAAACTTAAAGTGCAAGGTAAGTTAAGAAGAAAATTATTTCATTGTTAATCCCCCTTCAAAGGTAGACTTTAGAAAAAATTCCAAACGAATCAAACATCTAATGATTTACTGTGAACTCGGTTTAACCAAAAAGTGTTTAATGTCCTTGCATTCTTTTCGCGATGTTCATCATCGTCCGGACGTCCGATTCAAAAAATAAACCTTTTTTATTCCATTCGAAGAGTACTTGGACAATGACATTAATTGAACAAAAAGGACGAACCATTTAACTTTGTCACAATGGTTTTTTTTAGACAATTTAATTCGAATCGATTAACTCCACTCCTTACCATCTGATTTGATGTGGACTTTATGTGTATGTAAAAAAAAATAATACTCTGTAGAAAGAAGAAAGTTGTAGGTGTAGCTTCGAAAGTTGCATTGTTTAGGAGGAAATTTCCTGATGATGTCTCAGAATTACAATGAAGAAAGGTGTAAGTGTAAAAATCTTTCCACATTTTATTTTTTCTATTGTATTAGAAAAAGATCAACAAATAAAGATTAATCGTTTATTTATTAGTTTATTGTAAAAACTAATAAATTGCATTTCATATCTAAAGATTACTTAACAAATAATTATTGATTCACACATAATACGACGTCCTGTACTTTCTCTCGTTCACCTAAAGGCGCCTTGCAACATACACACACAGAAAATTATTAATTGTTTGTTTCGTAATCTCTACCAGAAGAAGAACCATTTACAAATCTTTCAACATTCCTCGGGGGTACTTTAAAGGATTTATTGGGCCTCTAACACCAAATATATATAAAACAGTTTTAGTAAAATTCCTCTCTAAGGTAATCTTAAGATAATTTCTATGCTAATAAGAAATAATTATAGTCCTTTTTTGAGAATGAGTGGGTTGTAGTTAAGTTTCCTTCAAGAAGGCTAAAACATAATTTTTGAAGTATTGTTTTAAAATGTACTTGACCTAAATAATTAATAATTTATTATACCTATTTTGCGATTTAGATTAAGTCTAAATAAGTTTCTATATTTTCATTTGATTTAATATTTTTGTATTAACCTGATAAAAGATAATTAACATAATTGTCTCCTCTTAACGACTTTTTACGACATTTGCGTAGTTCGTGCACGACGATAGCCTTTTACAAACGTAAAGAACATAATCACGTGTGTACCAAGTTATTTCATCGGAGCCGAAATTACAACATCAACCGCAAGTTATAAAAATTTGAAAATTATTAGAAAACCACAAAACCAGTCTTCTTCAATATCCCTAACTTTGTCGCCTTCTCCTTCTTCGTTTTCAACATTATCGTTGCGAAAATACACATTTTGCAATACTTTATACGCGAAGAAACGCATTTTGTCATTAGTAATTAAAAAAAAAAGATAAGAAAAAAATAGTGAAAGTAAAAAATGGGAAAATAATCTTATTTTTTTTGGTGTGTGTGAAGTTAAAGTTTATGTAATTTCTGGTTTCTTTCGATCGAACAAAGAGAGATTAGTTTAAAATGTTGTCGATGGTGGGAAGATTTACGATGCTCTCATTTCCAAAAATGAAAGGAGATGAGCGAGAGCAAGGTAATGTAACATTGAAACGGAGATGACACGAATCCAATCGCCTATTAACAAGAATCGTTTTTTGGATCAAGGTTAAGCCACGTTTTATTTT